ATGAACTGGAAAATGAGGGCTCTATGCAGAGCTAGCATTCAGAGTATCTTGTAGGTATTGCAAGGTTAGGGCAGCAATGCCCAGAGCCATTGTAAACAGGTAATTTGTTCGCAGTGCCAGGTAACTGCAACATTCAAAGCCACTAAATCTTGTAGGCATTGTAAGGTTAGGGAAGCATTCAAGCCCACTGTATCTTGTAGGCATTGTAAGGTTAGGGCATCCGTCAGGGCCATCTTATCTTGTAGGCAATGCAAGGTTAGGGCAGCATTCAAAGCCACTGTATCTCGTAGGCATTGTAAGGTGAGGGCACGGTATCTTGTAGGCATTGCAAGGTTAGGGAGCATTACCCATTCAGAGCCACAGTATCTTGTAAGCATTGCAAGGAATGCAGCATTCAGACCCAATGTACCTTGTAGGCAGTGCAAGGTGAGGCGAGCATTCAGACCCAATGTATCTTGTAAGTAGTGCAAGGTGAGGCGAGCATTCAGAGCCAGGGTATCTTGTAAGTAGTACAAGGTTAGGCGAGCATTCAGAGCCAGGGTATCTTGTAAGTAGTGCAAGGTGAGGCGAGCATTCAGAGCCATGGTATCTTGTAAGTAGTGCAAGGTGAGGCGAGCATTCAGAGCCAGGGTTTCTTGTAAGCATTGCAAGGTGAAGACAGCATTCAGGGCAATTCTATCTTGTAGACAGTGTGAAATGGCAGCATATTCTATGAGATAAGGTCAACATGTAGGCCCATTATATCTTGTGGGCAATATTCGACGAGGACAGCAAGTAGAGCCATCAAATATTGTATTTGTGTTAGATTTGCACATGTACACCAGAAGTACCAGAACACAATTAAAGCTCTGTTACATGCTGATTAATGCGTGGTAATGTATGTATTGATCTTATAATAACGTAACACTGCTTCTTCACCAGGCAGACCCTCCATCACGCAGACCAGTGTCTACCAACACACTCGTTTAGTTTGTATCACCATCATACAAATCTACAATACGTCTACTGCTGAACAATACCCATATCAATAGATATGTATCGCTGAACCGTTTTGTTTAAATAATATTTCCATATTCAGGACTTGCAAAAAACAGGAGGCTAGTTCGCTTTCTCAGGTTGGATGAGTTTGGTAGATTTAGGTAATGTTTTAGGAAGAAAACTAGTGAAACTTGCCATACAAATAAACACATGTAATTATAGGGAATGCAACTATAATAGAGCAATGCAACATAAGCTGTCGCAAATCCCAGCCTCCTGGTGATGACTACCAGCACGACTGGCGCTCTCATGAGTGCATCCTCAATTCTTCCCACTCACATCATTGAATTAAATCTACTAGATTAGCAGCTTGCACTCATTTGCATATTACACAAGTTTTATTAACATCAAGGGAAATAACTCTTATGTGAATTACCATCGAACTCAATTCTTTGAAATTTATCATGAAACACATAAGTTGGTGAAGACTTCGAGTAGTTACAATGCATTTTTTGGGATCCTGGATTCTGACAAGGTTGTGTTCAAAACGTTCATTTTGGCTTAATGATGTACATTTCAATGTAGATATTTGCTTAACGTTTTTCTTTGAATTCAAATACACCCACCTGTATTCTGTGCCCTTTCTTTTTACAAATTTCCAAGCACTATATTTTAATTGTATGGTTAAATATTATGACTTCAGGTTTTTTTAGGTCTTACTGAATAAATTTAATATTTTTTACAAACTTCAGTCTTGGCCCCTGTGGCCTTGAATCTGTCAAGCTCATTCCTTTTCAAACAATTTTTAGCATCACAATTCACATTTCAGCAAACTGGGCTCATCATTTTTCCTCAAGATAAAGGACTGTGGAAGCAGTAATGTGCAAACACAGTCTTCAATCCTCGATACTCCTGGGGTTAAGCTCAATTTTGCTCTCTGCACCCCTGGAATATGTCATAGAAAAATCAAAGGCTCAGTGTGCACCACCTTGTGGATGAGACGAGAAGACAAGTTTGATTTGGTTTGGTTTGTTTGTGTTTTACGTCCTATTAACAGCTATGGTCATTTAAGGACTTGCCAGGTTTTGGTGATGGAGGAGAGCCTGAGTTCCCGGAGAAAAACCACCAACCTACGGCCAGTACTGGTGACTGCCCAACATAGGCCTCGAACCCCAGACCCAGTGGAGGAGGGATAGTGGTAGCAGAATGTCAGACCACTTAACCACCGCGGCTCCTAGTTTGATCCATTGAGGTACATCAAAATAATCTCTCAGTAGCGTAACGGTAAAATTGACCAACTCTGAAGTTGGGCGTCACTTCTCTGTAATCTTCAAAGGACAGGTATCAGCCTTAGAGCATATTATCGAGAAAACTAAAAAAAAAATGCTTCAAATATCCACAATTTCCATTGAATTTACCACAATTGAGCTCAAAGCCAACAAGGCTGACTGAAATAATAAAAGAAAATCTGCATCGCATGGATGATTTTAACTTTGCACTGTTCAAAACAGGTTCTCGCTATAGTGATCAGACTTGACTTAGCCTTGTTAGCTTCATGATTAGTCTGGATATGTCCCATGGAAATACATGCCATTATTCTGGAAATTTGAAGCATTTTCTTACAGCTTTCTCCACAATATAGTGACTACAGGAATACTTTAGGGAGTACATCTTTTGGTATTTTTTTTCATTATTTGTAATATTCAAGGTTCTGTATGTGCACAAAAACTCTGTGTTCAACAACGGTCATAGTCTACATGTTTTTGATTCTAGAATACCAAACTGCTTTGATCCTTTCCTATTTTGAGGAAAATTATTAACCCATAATAAATTGTGTAAGGTGACAGTATCCAAATCGGATCACCAAACCATGATTTTATTTATTCATTGAAAAATCTGAGGAGGAATTATATTCATTTATGGTTGTATCAAAGGAAGAATATCGATGGGTGTTCTTATAAATGAAATATGGGGCTCACTTGAGATAGTTATAGAACGCTCTAAAGTCACCAATCAGCGTTTCCGGTTTTTTCAAACGTCAGGACTCAAATCAGACCAAGGCTTGAATTTTAAAGTATCTTACACTACAAATTAATATTTTTTCGTCAGCGTATTAACATTTTATGATGACCTTTAGAATTCATGAGAAAAAGTATTTCTATAGTGACAATTTTTTTCTCTAGTCCAAAATAGTCGTCACATGCGCCCTTTTTTTTAAACGTTATCAAAACACTGACATTAGAGTTTGAATTACGTTTTCTGGTGCTAATTGAACTTCAAAACTAAGCATCTGTAGACAAAAAAATGGTGCCAGGCTATATTCTATTCTAAGGCTACATCATTTGTTGACATTATAAGTATTTTTGCAAAAAGTGATCCGATTTGGGTACTGATCCGATTGGGGTACTGTCTCCTTAGACACAGTCTTGATGAAATACCTAACGTCACTTTACCCAAAACGGAACGGAACCCAAACGGCCCAAAAAACTGTCATGCAATGCAAAGAAGTACTTCTTATGAATGCAGTTTTAACTTGATGATGCTTTTATGACACTTTAACTGTATATAAGCCTTATTGGCTGCTGTTTATTACATGGACAATTTAAAAGGTAAGAATAATTACCAAAACAAAACTGTCGTGAATTGTCAAAATAAGTAGTGTCGAAAGGAGACATCATTTTCAAAAGTCTCCTTCATGAAAATTAATGCTAATTTGGAGAAGAAGTTTAATCAGAACCCAATTCGAATATAAAATATTTGAATTATGTATAATTTTCTGTTGATATTGATTATTTGACCAAAATACAGAAGTGTCCCTTTCAGGGTACAGTAATACTGGTGCCTGTTCAAGGATCTATGTGACCCTAATTGTATTTCCCATTCTATTTATAGAACCAGGCTTCGGAAATACTAACTTGCAATAGAAATGAAAGTGAATGGTATCTATTTGTGGAAAATGAACAAACATTTTCGGAATTGATAGTATGATATAAAGGACATTGATATTTATGTAAAAAGTGTCCAGTTTTGGATACAGTGATGTTAGAGCAGGTCAGGGAAATACTTTTAATACGCAAACTTGCCTATTATACGCCAATTTAGGGTATGGATTTGTTACTTAAAATAACCAAAATCACTTTAAGTTTAACTTTTTCAATTTGTTTGTGCACTTATTTAGTCATGAAACATCATACAAATGCAAAAATAAACTTTATTTGCATTGCCATGTAGGAAAGTACCAAAAATAGATGCAATACTTCCGGTAGAGTTACTTCAAGTTTTTAAGTTTAGCAAAATATTGTTTACGTTGTCGTATAATGTGATTTTTAATAATATATTGCAAAAGTTACTGTTAAAACGATTTGGGTTATTTTTAGTTTTAAACAAATCCATACTCAAACTGGCGTATAATAGGCGAGTTTGCGTATTATACTTAAGTTGGTGGGTTTCTCCAACCTGTAGGTAGGCAAATGTCCACCGCAAATAAAAAAATGTATGTTGATTACTATGTCTATAATGTTTACCAAAAAACGTTACACTGAAACAATAAAACAGATGGAAAATATCCTGGCCTTGCATTTCGCCTGACATATGAAATTAATCGCCCGAAACCATATTTTTAAACCCGGTGTAATTTACTAAACTAATGTCAACTGGATGCAGACAGTTACTGTTGAATAGCAGCGACTGGATGACACTACCCTAGCACAGGCTACCACCGATTAACCGTGTTGTGTATAATATTAGAGGTAGGCGAGATATACGGTATGTCGTAAACATCTTTGATTGAGGTGTAACAAATGAAAGCCTGGGGTTATATAGGAAATCACGCTCCACTAACCAACCGTAAAGGCGATGTAAGGGAAACTTGGGCAAAGAGATGCAGCATCCCACTTAAACGACAGCGTTCGATGCCGAACCATCATCAAAGTAAAACAAGCATCATGCTCATAAATTGCGCATGCACAAAAACTTCACATCTGAAAAGAACAGCATAAATTTACAATCAAAACTATGTTTACCTGTCGGAAAACTGTCCACAATCTCTCATCACAGTCGCCGAATAACACAGCCGCGCTCGCGCAGTAAGACTGAATTTATTTGCCAGAAACCGTTCGGCACCAGAGAAGTCGCAAAATCTAAATACTTCAGCATATTTTAATTTCTACTTCAAAAAAATATAGATGCATATTAGCCAAACATTTCCATTGTACATAGTTCGAAGTTTCATATCAGTTAAGACCTATAGTGAGCTATTCGGGTGTTGTAAGCGACATCATGGGGCACCACAAGGGGTAATTCAGTATACAGCACAGCAAAAAAGCATATGTTGCCCCTTGTCAACCAGGTTGCATTCATTTTCTGGTTTTGACACCTTATATGGGTGACGATGTACTGCGAATAAATGTTTAACAGATTATGAGCACGGATAACATTTGAATAAAAAAAATGAACAAATTTGACCATTTATATGAAAATGAAGGTCATCGTCTCCTAATACAATTAATGCACTGTAAACCTTCCTTTGAGAAAAACATTTACAATTCAAAGTTTTTGAAAATGTACAGCCAACTTAAAAAAAAAATGAAATTGTATTTATTTGACTTTTACCTGGAGGTGAATGTCATATTGACTTGACATACATACTCCATTCCTATCCACCCTCTGTAAGTGATACAATTATATCTCTTTCAGTCTATCTGTAACCGTTTAAGTTACGAGGATTTTACTGCAATTTTTGCTTTTTTTGACATTTTCACCATTACTGAAGGTCACGATGACCCGTTAATTACAGTGCAATGCACATCTCCTGTAAGTGGCGCAATCACATGTTGATACTCATATCTCTGAATGGCGTTTTAAAAGTTGCGGTGATTGATAATATGGTTTATTTCACACTTTTTGACCTTTGACCTAGAAGTGAAGGTTTTCACCTTCTATGAATGTTGCATCTCTACTTTAAGTTTCATCAAGACATCTTCACGGTTTAAATATTACGGCCCGACTAAAGGGTTATTAGAAATTGGAAATACCAGAAGTAACATTACCAGCACCATGCAGTACAAATACAACATGACCCCCCNTGTGCTATGCTGAATACCTCAGGAAGCTTTTCTATGTATTATAGTTATAGATTAGGCCTAATTACAATGTGTAAACATATAAGTTCATTAGATGTGCTTTTTTGAAGGTCAAATTGACAAACGTGAAAATCGTCTTACAATTCAAAAACTATTATAGTCAATCAGGAACGTAGATATAAAGTACAAACCTTCGAATAGTTTATAGTTATTACTTATGAACTTGTTTTAGGTGAATATGTGGTGATATGAACATGAGCTAAAGATGTTGACTGCATGAGACCAAAGTCGTACGTGATACTGAAACACTTGAATACAAGAAACTCGCCATGTTTGTTTTGATGGAACAACGCATCGGAATTTTCAATTATTACTTTTTTTATATCGTTCTGTTCACTGTCATTTCCAATATTCATATTTTCTAAACCGCGCTGTTGGAACATGTTTATAAGGAATCTTCTGTAGTAATATACTGTGAAATCAGATATTTTCGTGGTGCCCAAATTTCATTATTTTCCCAATTAACACTATTTCGTGGGCACATGAATTCTTCGATTACTAGTTCCGACGAAAGCTAGTAGTTTACTACTTGCACGGAATATACCTCTATTCAAACCTTGAAATTTCGTAGATAAAAGAGTACCCATGAAATTAATAACATTAAAATCCTCACGAAAACTAGTGATTTCGCAGTATGTATATAACGCCGTTGTTTCGCTTTGCGTACATTATAGAACAATAAACCTCAGCTGGTGATTTTTATTAAGCTGTTCTCTCTTTTACTTTTTAAAAGTATAGAGAAAATTCGAATATGGATCGTAATTAGATTATTTTTTCGACAAAGTATTGTCTAGAACAATTGAACAATACCATTCTCCTCCAATTTGAAGATTACATAAAGATAATTACATTCAATTTTTACCATATATTGCAACCACTTATACTATGGAAACTGGCAATGAAATTCCCGGAGTTTAAAGATTCCAAATTATATGTTACGAACATTAATAATAAATATTCGTACTGGTAAAGCCAAAGAGCTATGTCACAGATGTGGTATTATTTACCAAGATATATTAACTCATATCATATTAAAGTGTAGCTATACTGAACACCTAAAGGACAAGTTGTGGTGCTCTATCGCAAACATTAGTGATATTGGTATTCTGCTGAGTGCGTACATACACTCTCTGACAGATCACGAATTAATTCATATTTTAATTGGGGGACAAATGACTTACGAATTAAATGTATTAGACATGAATGAATTTAGATTGAAATCAGTAGCAGCTGTCGAAAAGATGCACAAGTTATACTACCGGTAGTGTGTAGATAAAATCTCACATCCTGATAGAGATTAATATAAATAAAATGAATATAAAAAATAATATGAATGTTTAAGCTGATATGTATGTATTACCTCATCATATATACACTTATTAATGATATTTATTGAATGTATGACTTCAATGTAATTAAGTCTGTATATGTCATGTATGTTATTTGGTGCTTATGTGTTTTCAATATGATTTTTTTGTAATGTAATTATGTGCGCATTATTCTGTTTAAATGTAATCTTCAGATTGGAGGAAATAAAGAGAATAATAGGAGAATATTTTACAGTAGTATACACAATGCCGCAAATGAATAAAATATAACGTAGAGTAGATTTTCCGGCAAAGATATAATGTTGCTAAGCGAGTAACTTAATTAGTTAATTTGCATTTGTGTATCTCGATAAACATTGATTTTAATAGGAAAGACCACAATATCAATTACAAAAGTAGAGAAAAAAAATTACATTTAGTGCTGGAAAATTAGTCGGTTACGGCAAAAATAGGATCGTAGGGTCTTATTAAGTTTGGTACGTTGGCGGTTATTCGTGTTGTTCAGTGGTACAATATTCGTTCTGCTGATCTAAGGGGAAAAGTATCTCACAAATTATATTAGTAGGCTTTTATACTTGCATTAATTCAATTATGATGAATAAGAATTTGAAAACCATTGAATGATGTCTACTTTTAACGGTAAAGGTAGAAAATAGTTTTAACCTTTCTATTATTTTTTGCATTATTTTTCACATTGATAAACTGTCACATCAGATGTGCTACAACTTACAATTTCCAAGATGTGAATATTATAAACAGCTATTTGTTGAACTAGTTCCCGAAAATTAGTTTCACGTGCCCAAATCTTGCACGGGTCAAACCACGGAATCAGATTAGATTGTTATGTAAGTCCGTGGTCAAACGTTGGGGGGTATTGGTTTTGTTTTAATTGCAGGTAACTGGACCATAGCCCCAGGGCACGTTGGTTACCACCTGTGTTATTTGTGAGGGCTAATTAGTGATGTCCACGTAAGGAACCCTATGCTGTCATCGTTTAAGTACCGTTAGTAAGTAACCCGACAGCCATCCCTCCTCCTCGTAGAGTCTGGATACAGTATCAGTATCAAACCGTGGCCAGGCAATATTCATTTACGTACCCAGGCCGAAATCTTAGTGCATACATATATCTACAGGTAAATCGCTAGTCAGATAATTAAGTATTATAAGCCAAAAAGTTGTAGAACAATTCAATTATGGAACATGCAGATAGAGAGTACTGATTTATACAATAACATGTAAGCTTGATCATGTTCATATCAAAATGGAATGCTCGTAGGAAGTCGTTTTTACTGTTTATATGAACCGTTATCGTGGAATGAACATTTCGGTTCCCGTTGGTATGAGCACATGTGTGGATTCAAAAACTTTTGAAAGGGCCAAATATCTGCAAAGTTCATTGCGCCTCTTGTACGAGAATCAGATATATGGGTCGAGGATGCGAAAGTGCTAAGGTTAAAAAAATAAATCTAGGAAGCGCTCTTCGGCGTTTTAGAAACATTAGAATCAGTTTTTTAGTTATTTTATTCTCATTTTTTACCATTAAACATTCAAGAGCTGCACAGTGAACATGTGGTATAATAGTAGGCCGATAGCAAGTTCCAGGATGATAAAAAGCATTGTCGAGTTTTAGGCATATTTTCTGAATTCTGCAAAATACTGGATTCTCAAACAAAATTTATATGCCTTAGAAATTTTGAAATACAGCTTTGCAAGAACCTATTATATAAAAAAAGAAATGTGTCGATTTATTAAGATGGAGCAAAGCTGAAGTTCAAGAAAAAAAATCCCTGCAGGTCGTGGATGATTAAAGAATTCTGCTGTTACCCACAGCATTATACTGTAAGAGGCGACTAATGTGGGGAACCCTGCAAAATTGGGTATTTTTCTTTTGTGACCTCTTTTTGGGGACACAAATCGACCAAAATAAATCTGCTGTACCAGAGACATATAATGTACGTCTCTGCCTGCACCCTTTGCAATATTTGGAATCTTTATATTTCTCACTACTTCTAACAACCTTTTATTTCCTAGAGCCTAACCCTCCCTTGGCAGTACCCCAACTTTTGGTCTTGAGGTTGAATGTTTACCAAGGTGAAGAATACAATGGGTTCTCTACCAGGCCGAAATATACCAAAGTCCTTAAAAATGGTAGTTGTTATTCCCTGGTTAATGTTCAGGTTTTTGGGCAATTGCAACAACAACAATTTACAATATTCCCAGGTTCAGTAAAATGGTATGATTTACCAGTTGTCAGTAAAATGTGACGGGGAGGAATTCTGTGCTGGGTGCCTTTGACATGGTTTTTCAGTGAGATAGCACTATAAAGTCGGCATCAGATCTGCACTATCACAAGGAAGCATATACACCTTACATACCTTGCCTCCTACACCTACACACAAGCACGCATACATTACACACTTGGATGCATGCCCTTAAATGCCCTAAGCTGTTGATAGCATGGACAATAAACAAAGTAAACTAAACCAAACCAATCATGAATAAAAAATCTGACATTTTATTGGAGGCACAGAAGTCTAGTGGTAGGACGCTGGGCTTGTGACCGAAGGGTTGTGGGTTTGAATCACGTCACGGCACTGTGTTGTATCCTTGAACAAGATACCTTATTTCACTTGTTCCAGTCTACTAAGCTGTAAATGCGTACGTTGTATGGCAGTGCTAAAATTGTTGAATGCTAGCTGTGAGTACCAAAATGGCAGCACCAGCTATATGTTCCCAAGGGAGTTGAGAAAGATATTGGCTGGTCGAAAGGCCCCATAACCACGGATAATAATTTGTGAACAGCTGACCTACGACCTAGGTTGTGATAAAGTGTTATAGAAGAACCTGGAACTATTATTATTATTCAAAAATTAACTCTCTGTAAGAATGCCACCCTGACCATCACTCACTGGCGATCAATCATTGGGGGTGGCATCTTTACTGAGAGTTGATTATAAACCCCTAAAACATAATATTACTCCCTAGGCATCAGGATAGGTCCAAACCTACAAACTGTAACAAACTCTCGAGTCCCTGTGACAGTGATGACACTCGGAGAGATATGATAGTTATACATCTCTGTGGCAAGTTGTATAGTTGTAGATAATTCAAGTCTTTAATTTCAGTGGAAAAAACTCACCAAGACAATATATTACTAAAGTTAAGTCAACATTACTTTCTTTATTTAAATAAATCAACAAATGTCTCAAATAAATAAATAAAATGTAAAACAAATACACATCATATAAAAATCCAGTATAAAAATACATTTTATTACGAAAAAAAACTGTCAAATTCTGTTCCCTCTTAACCATATGTATAAAGAAATCTATCCACTTAAAGCAGACTCAGAAACATGAAAAGACATCAGACAAAATCTGGACTGGATTAACCGTTTCAACCCTATGTAACTTTAGTAGACTCTACCATGCATTAATCTGAATGAGTCGATTATGGTCTACAGTGGTGAAAGGGTTTTAAACTTCTTACCAGTTTTGTATCAAATCATGATATAACATTTATATAGTGTCTCCTGTCTAACATGAAACTCATGTTTTGCTTGTCATATAGATTTGTATTTTCGAGGTTTACGATGAAAAAAAGTGTATGTGGTAGATATTTCTTGTGATATCTTGGATAATACAGTGGAACCCGCTTATTATGATATTCTGTTTGCCAGAGAAAAATAGTAATGATAGCAGATATATTATAATAAGCTGTTTTCAATCGTTTTCAGGTTGTCTGAACCAGAAGGTGAGATGCCCTATAATCATCAACCTGTATAATCACATACAATACAAATTAACTGTACAACAAACAAACTGTAAAAGTTAGTGTAAACAATTACTTGATCAACCTTTCATGTTACACACATGTGGGCAACAACCTGGAAGTATTTCACTGACTTCTATTTTAAATGTAACATTATGTAAAAATTATTTGCTCAAACATTTTTCACAGCACTGAAATTATTGTATTTCCAAGAAAAATAAATGGTTTTCAAAATACAATATGAGTATAATGGGAGAAAAATTATCCCAAACGTGTGAAGGCTTCTTATATCCAACTCAAAGTAGATACAAAAAGACATATATATATCTTGTCTTATACAATTTGAATATCAACTAATGAGATTTTAACATTGAAAACCAACTACCAATGATTAGGGCACTTCTATTTATAATGTGTAACCACAATTATAAAGTTTAACAACAATTGTACAGTGTTACCAAAGTGTAACCAAAATCATACAGTTTAACCCTTTCACCACTGTAGACCCTAATGGACTCATCCAGATCAAAGCATGGAAGAGTTTACTACAGTTACATAGGGGTGACAAGGTTAAACAATAATTATACAGTGACAAACCAAAGCGTAACCACTAGGGCTGCAACGATACATTAACATGACAATAAGATACGTATCCCAATACTTTGGTCATGATACAATACGTATACCAATACTTTGGTCATGATACAATACGTATCCCAATACTTTGGTCATTATACAATACGTATCCCAATACTTTGGTCATGATACAATTCGTATCACGATACATATAGTAACAGTAAAAGCTAAGTGAAAAAGTTATGTTGCAAATTTTGAATGGCAATATTACACCAGGAAATAGACTTTAATCCAAAATGGCTGTGACTTACTTTATTGTGTAACGAACCGTATTCAAAATATCAGGATATAATCTTTGCAGCCCTAGTAACCATACTCATACAGTGAATGACTAATTATATCCCAAAAATGTCCTTCCTAAAATGAACAACTGAGAAGTCAGTTTAACAGATTATCATCCTCTGTATGCCAGCTTAGCCTGTTCCCTGTACAAGTGCTAGTCACACTGCTGCTGTTCATTAAGAAACATGCTGTTCAATAGCATGACATTTTATATTGATATGTTTAAATGTTGTATCACAATCCAGCTCTTCACAAACAGAAAACTGTTTTTTCAAAAGTTTAATGATATGACACTTTGAATATAATACGTTTTGCTACTTCTTTAACAAGCGTTTTTAATTTGGCTTACAACCAATCACTTGATGATAACAAAAATTGTTATACATGGCTTAAAAATGATAAGGCAATACATAAAACCATTTTAACATGGCAGTAAATGATCAGGCCATGACAGCATATCTTGATAACATGGAATTCGGATTAAAAATGTTCTGTTCAAGACAACATACCCTGTGAACATGGTTACAAATGATCAGGCTACGCAACACATCCTGTTAACATGGCTAACAAATGCCTAGGCAAGATAAATGCCTTTTTCTCATGACATACAATAGTACAAAAAAAATCTGATATTCAAAAAAGTGAATGTTCATGTATAAAAAATGATGTGTAAATATAAAATCTGATATACATACCGTAACTGTGTTACAGTGAAACCAGACATAGACATCACAGGGTGACCGTATCATTTGGTAGGATAAGAGTGTGTCGGTAAAGCCATGCTGGCTTAAAACCAGATATGCAAGTCTTTTAGACACATGAAAATATGGAGGATATTATAAAATGTTTTAAAGGATCCCTGTCCCACAGCAGGCAAAACACTAGAGAGCTCCACTGTAATTTTTCATACAAAGAGTAACCTCCCTTTTATTTTATTTTGGATACAGCTGTGTAAGTGCAGCCAGGCCAGGGCACAACTGTTGACTATATGTATCTTAGTTTGTAAGAGTGATAGTATAATGTCGGAGGTCGAGGGTTCAAATCCTGGTCTGGCACTGTTGTGTTCACACTCAGAACGCTGCTGTTGATAAAAATTTCTGGGGTATTTCATTTTACCGAAATATTAATAAAAAATTCTGCAAGACAGAATATTTCTAAAAACAAACAACCTTGAAAATATCTATAGTGATGTAATTTGCACACCCCCAACTTCAAGCTTAATTTCAACACAAAAAAACTGCACAAATTACACAAGTTTCTTACGGTATTTCATTTTACCAGGCATGGTTTTTGTTCAGCAAAGTTTGGAGTGCATCTTTACAGTTTGGCCGTGGTATGGGGATCCTTAAAGCTACCTGGTTTCACTGTAATTTACTTTCTGTACAAAAATATCTAACCTGTGTATATATAGCAGTGAACACAACATATAATATCAGTATGTTAACAGTAAAATGTCTACCATTGCATAGTGGTATCTAATGGCCTCCAGTGGTCCATTGTCTGAATAGGTTCTCATCGCGTTTACTTTCAAAATCGGTGGCAAAATTTATCTCTGTGATTTCTGAAAACCCTTCTGCTTCTGTGGGGGGTTCAAACTGCTTGTAGAAGACGTTGTATCCCACGTCAGGTATCCGTCGCACCTGACCGTTCGTCTGGTTCTGGCGCACAAAGTTTAGATGAACTGCCATTTCTCTTTCTGTTTTAATCCAGAGACATCGGCATGGAATTTCTGACAGAAAAAAACCCACACAATTTATTAAATGCCACTGAAGTTATACTGTCAAGTCTGATATGAAAAGCGGAGAGGGAAATTTCAACTGAAAATCTATTTGTGAAGATAAAACAGTTAAATTTATATTTTACGAGAGAGTGACTAGGAGTTTCTCATATATTGGAATCTTGTTGTGTATTTTGCAAACCAATGAGAAAAATTACCAATAATTTTAGGATAAAATGTACTATTTCACACTATTTTGCAGAGCTAGCAATGATAAAGGGAAGACAACTCTTACTTTTAGACTTGGCCAATTGTATGTAATCACCACGAGCATCACATGATGGATTTGTATTATCTGCCACGATGCTGTCTCCTGAGTCCAGAGCTGTCTTAGCAGCCTGAAAAAATCATAAAATTATTTAAAAATTATCTAAATGTATGTCTATCATAACATATACAACTGTATGTACATATTTTGTTTCATTCTCCTTTCTCCTTTATTTTAGTGGACTGATAAGGAATTACCTGGGTCATTGCAGGAGTTAACAGTCCATATCCTGGGAACTACCCCACGCACAGGCAAATTGTGAAAAAGTTCTCCAAGCCTGAATTTTGTTTTCTGCATGCAGTAATCGGGCTGGTGGAATTTAAATGTCAACTAATTACTAAATTGATCAAAGAATAGATACTTCATCACAAGAAACATGTCTTTACCATTGAAATCCCAACTGGGAATTTTCACCACCCCTTGACATTGTTTTTCAAACAATTTTCATCACAGTGTGACTGACCATGGATAGAACTGAACTTCATACACTGGTCTAAGTTGTTGTTTTAAACACACATCATGATACAATAATTCTGTTTCTTTATTTATAGCAGCTGTATGTTGCTTAGCAATGGGAGCTTTACCACACAGCAGAGACTAAGACAGAGTAGCCACTGACCTTGAGGCACTTAGCCTTGGTTCCCATGGTGTCCCTGTTAATAGCCACGTAACCATGGGGTTCCAGGTACCTCCTTCTAAAGGTGCTCTTCCCAGACGCAGGACAACCGGTCATCACTACAACTTCCTGTTTCTGTAAAACACCAAAAGTCATAACTCAGTTACCGGTACATATAGTGCTTGTGCTAGGGAGGTGACTTAGGTAAATCCTAGCTCCACGTATTTACTTAGCTATGCATTTGTAGCAATGATATGAGTTATATTAAAACAAGAGATCCTAGAAGGATCTTAGCTTCCATCATAAAAGGATTTTTATCAGATCTACAAAAGATGATCTTTTACCTTCTTTGCTGTTTGTTTTCCCTACAGGTATACTACCAAGTATTACCCAATACCATATTGAAAATCCTAAACGAGAATCTTGTATATCAACATAATGTCATATATTATTTGTTATTTGACTGGAAGCACAAAATGTGATCTCTTTGGAGAAAACCAGATTACCAAGAGAAAATCTACAAGGTCGGTCAGGTAACCGAACATAATTTACTTCCTATCAGGGAATCCAACCTTGGATGTCTCGTTGAAAGGCAAATGCACTTTCCAATGCGCAATCCTATGTATCAACTTAGCTGTACACTTGTACCTATACAAGCAGTATTAGAAGCAGAAGGAGGGTATAGTCGTATCAATTCTAACGTTGGCAAAAAGTGCTGTACATTCCCTAACAACTAACATGGCCAGGTCTAACTTAGTGACATTAAAAATGTATAACTTACATCACTGTGGTAATCTTTTTTCTTGCCTTTCTGGCTGGTGGAAATGAAATCATCTGGATTTAAATTTCTCCATTTGAAAGGAACTGCTTTCTCTCCTAGAAAGAACTCCTCAGGAGTTTGAAAATCTGTCAAAACACAAGTTAAAAAACGTTATTATTCAACTATAGAACTTTTATCATAAAAACTTCCTTGCCTTACAAAACAAGACTGCATCAACTTTATTTCTGTATACTTTTGTTTTAAGACAGATGGCAAGATAATTTTCTAAATTGTTCTTAACAGATGATGTTTTAAGGATCCCTGTCATACTGCAGACAAAACACTAGAGAGTTCCACTGTTTTTTAATAGATATAGTAACCTCCCCTTACTTTTGTTGTGGATACAAGTGTAGTGCTGTTGAACCAGAGTACTTCTTTTGACCAGGTAGCTCAGTTTGTTTGGCCGTCTAGCCCCACTGACTTTGTACACTCAGAAAACTGTCGTGATTATTAGTCAATGACCCTGCCCAGTTCGGCAAACTAATTTTGGTTACTATGGTTACATAAACAATATTTATATGTTTAATGATACAATTATAAAAAAAAAAAGATTTAAAAATAATGTTAGTTTGTCCAAAAGTCTTAAACCTTTCACCACTGTAGACCATAATGGACACATCCAGATCAATGCATGGTAGAGTCTACTAAAGTTACACGGGGATGAAAGGGTTAAAGGTAAGAGTTCAAAACATTCTCACCGATTCCAATGTTGGCGGCAAACATGCGGTCACTACAGGAGAAATCCTTTTTCTTTCCAGGAGCCCATTCAGCAGCTCGTCCAGCTGCATCACCAACATACCGACACTTGGACAGGTCTGGCTGTAAACAAGAATGCAGATGTACTCTGTGTTTGTTTAAGGTTTCACAGAATTGTAACAATTTAGGTCATATGACGATGCCGTTAGAAGAAAGTTCAAGAACAACTTTTAAAGACATCCCATTATCCTAATAAAGGGCTAGCCAGAGGTATCAAGGGAGACATAGTGCAGCATGACTTCCCATCCAGATTCAATACCTGGTATTCTAACAAAGGGCTAGCCAGAGGTATCTAGGGAGACAGTAACAACATGTTATCCTATACAGTCCCATTATTTTGACAAAGGTTTAGCTTAAGGTACCTAGGAGACAGTACAGTATGACATTCTAGGATACAGTATGACATCTCATCCAGTGCTAGCTAGTGATACCTTCTGAGCCACAGTACAGTATGACATTCTAGGATACAGTATGACATCTCATCCAGTGCTAGCTAGTGATACCTTCAGAGCCACAGTACAGTATGACGTCCTGTCTAGTCCTGAGACATCAGCAATAGGAATGGGTTGGTAGGGGAGGAAAACAATTGTTGGTAGGTGGTAGGGGGGAAAACAATTGTTGGTAGGTGGTAGGGGGGGGGGGGGAAAAAAATTTTGGGGGGGGGGGGGGAAACAATTGTTGGTAGGGGAGGGAAAAAAATGTTGGTAGGGGAGGAAAACAATTGTTGGTTGGGGAGGAAAACAATTGTTGGTTTGGGAGGAAAACAATTGTACATTATGCCCATTACAATAACTTTGTTTAATATTGTAGTGGTTGGAGACAACTAGAGTAAAGGAATCATTCATATGTAGTGCCATCATGATATTCCAATGAAGCTTTGCTAATACTCCTCACATCAAATCTACCTGAGAAGTCTGTGTTAGTCTGCTGTACTACAGGGCAGTTTGATTATTGTGATTGAGATCTGTCTACATTGTAGTACCTTGACACCACCATTACACTTCTCCACGAAATGATCCCACATGAACGTGCTTGGCTTCCTGAAATGGTTGGTACCAGTGCAAGCAAATACCTGAAACGAACAACAGGAATATGTATCCATTATTACAATATGTGTAATCATGGGGAGGAAACTATACCTCATTGTTGACAAGTCACAGATGATGTAATGAAACAAAAATAAATGTACAATGTATATCTTGGACAGAGCTATTTTTTTTTCTATCAGAAAATCTTCATTTCAAATTGTGTTGTTTTTTACAAGAATTTCAACACATACCAGTATGTGCTTTGTATTCATGTGACTGAAGTTCCTTATCTCTTTGAATTCAACGTAAATTCACAATTAGCTAAATAATATTTTCTTAACCTTATATGCATGAGATCAATAGAGGACCAAATTATTTTCAGTATACTCAATCTGATTAAAATCATATGTTACATGGCTTCGTTAACTTCGTACTATGCCTGAACAGGCGGAGCCATGTAACAGATGATTTTAATCAGATTGCAGTATACTGGGATGAACATGAGTGAACAAAAAACACAAACCATAACTGGAATCCCAATTTCCCCAATGATAGCTTCTGCTTTCTTCATGAATTCCTGGGGAGTCACTTTGAGCTTCTCAATGCCTGCCTGATTGGTGAAGAAAACGATTCTGTAGCCTTCATTGTGATAGTCACGTATCTTCTGGGGAACACATTCATCCCACATCTCCCAGTCACTGGCACCTAAATAACATCAAACATCATAGTAAACAACACAAATCAACTGATAAAGTAATGGAGAACAACACAAATGAGTGGTAAATGTCATTGTGAACAACACCTAATGACAAATTGAGTAACACAGTAACAGAACTAAGCCAAAGATGGGAACACATGTTTCCCCATCCTTGATACCCCAGGGGTTACGTTCAATTACGTTCTCTGCACCCTTGAAATATGCCATAACAAAATTGAAGGCTCAGTAAGCGCCAACTTGCGAATGAGACAAGAAGACTAGTTTGATCCTTTGAATTGTAGAGGAAGAAGAAGAAGAGAGAAAAAATGTTGGACTAAGGGCTGTAGTTATTTTCAGATGAGTACACCTCTGGTTTACCTGTGTCACTTCAGGTTTGTTACTTACATTTGTTGGAAGCTAGTAACGTTAAATAAAATATTGAAAATTTCAAAATTAAAAATACAATGTGCATTGTTATTGTAGTAATTGTGATATAAAGTTTGATGCAAAGGCTAATATACCAGGTAACAGATTACAACAGTAAAATCTCAGGTAAATAAACTCAGGTAATACAGGTATAGAGATTTAATATATAAATCTGATTATAAGCTATTGTTATCTCACAATGTGTATTATTCTCCTAAATGTGGAGAAATAGATACCCCCTCCTCTGTTTGAGCTGCATACACACTATTGATCCTACAAGTAAACAGGGGGTGACATTCTTGAGAGTGAATAATTGTATTTAAGTCCCTTCTGCTTTGGTGGTTCCTAACAGGGGATGCTCAACATTTGAGTGGATGGCTATATTTTAATCCCTTCCTCATTGGTGGTTCTTAACAGGGAGTGTCAGCCTTGGGTGGGATAGTTATGTTTTAGTACCTTCCTCATTGGTGGTTCTTACCAGGGGATGTCAGTCTGGGGGTGGATAGTTATATAGTTGTTTTAGTACCTTTCTCATTGGTGGTTCTTACCAGGAGATGTGAGCCTTGGGGTGGATATATATAGTTATGTTTTAGTACATTCATCATTGGTGGTTCTTAACAGATGTCAGCCTTGTGAGTGGATAGTTATGTTTCAGTCCCTTCCTCGTTGGTGGTTCTTAACAGGGGGATGGCAGCCTTAAAGTTGGATAGTTATATTTAATCACTTCGATTTGGCTCTTATAAGTTATATATTCAACTATATAAATTAATGATCGCTGATTAATAGGTACCTGCCTCGAAAAATACACTGAAAGGTAGAGAACTTCTCAAAATGACACATTTGGGTTAAGTTTTGACACATTTAAGAAGTTCATTACCTTTCAGTATCTTATGTTTAGTTAATTAGGTCTAGAGGATCCCCCACTTCAATTCGAGGCAGATACCCGTGACGGAATTAACTATCGACATCAGTTTTCATAACAGTTTCTTATATTAGTTTGCATGTTATGCCTACCTGTAGCAAACGTCCTGCCACTGGCAGTTCTGATAACAGTGAAGTCTATATCAAATCCGATTACTTTCGTTGAACCCGGAAGTGTGTCCGATGTCAGCTTCATCAATGGACACACCCCTCTCATCACCTCGCCTTCTTGGGACCATTTCAGATTATCACAAAGGTTGGTCTCCCCTTTAGCACGTTTTGCTTTCAAGGTGCCTTCTTCGGCAGCCTTCCTTTTCAGGGCTTTACTTCGTGCGCTCATATTCGACTGTCAGGTTAGCTGTGAGTGTAATGCTGACAGTCAACTGATATATATAGGCCACAGTGTCCCTTGTCTCAACACGCACTGTGCTGCGTCAGTAACACGTTTGAGGGGAGATAACTCTCACAAAAGACGTATGATTTGACGATTAGTGTATCGGAACCTATAGAGTTCGGGGGATCCTGGCTCCGAATCCCGGTATGGCCGTCCTTTTTTTTCCGCTCCCGTTAGATCTGATTACATTTCTTCAGAACGGCATGAAATCAGATAAGTCCGTGCTTCCGATGCAGAAAAAAATGAAGAATTGTCAGTGTCCTTTTCGCAGCAGCCGATAATTTATACCCTGGACTTCCGACCTCTGCAACGACAGTTACTAGGCCCAGTCCCGCTACATATATTTAAATCTGATTCATCAAACTCTAGGGTTTGCTTTAAATAGCATTATAACATATATAACATATATAATTTCCCATATCCAAGGTGATACCTTTCGTATTATGAAAATCTTAATTATATCACCTTTTTGACGTCGAAAGTGCAAAATTGGAAAGTAAACCTTTCTGAGACATCCCGGGTAACGGAGACCATTACAGTAAAATCGTGGATATCCTATTGTTATTGTTGTTGTTGTAAAGTTTATAATCGAAGGATCTAGACAAAGTGATATAAATTATCCATTTTTTTATAATAATGAATTCTTCCTCGGAATTAGAACTAAATCCGTGGTTCTAAAATATTCTATAAAAGTAATGTTTTTTCATATTTTTCGGAATTATTTTCTCATACGGAATGAATGAGTATTGTTTGGTTTAGATATAAACAAACTACAATAGTACACTACATATGGAATGTAGAATGGCAATGGGCTAACCGCTTCATCTATTTACACCTCTCGTTTTACATGAAAATAACTTCCATCTTAGATGTCGCACAAAGTTGAACTGCGTAATACACGTGAAGCCATCAAAATTACGAGTTATCTCCCGTGAAATGATCAGCACGTGCACAGTTTTCTCCATACGCCTAAATCATGAAATGCGTTTTTATGTCCATATCTTTTAAGCAATGTCAAAGGTACACAATTATTTCAGATGTATAATCACAGACATGAAGACATTGCCGTTTAAGATATTTCTTACTTAAATTAAACCTCAATTAATCTAAATTGACCTTTTGCTAAACAAAATTTGGTGACTATTCCTTTATTGGGTTTTATCGTAAAAAAAAATAACAGACATGTGGGCTGGTCTTTTCTGGGTGGGTGGGGGTGTTCACTTTATCTATAAAATAAATGGGTGGGAGGGAGGATGTCTCATTGGTATTCCATTTTCATCTATGGCGCTTCTGATGTCTCTGCCAGAGCACCTCCGACGTCTCGGCCCGGGAAAGCTCCAACCTCTCTGCCAGAGCACCTCCGACGTCTCGGCCCGGGAAAGCTCCGACCTCTCTGCCAGAGCACCTCCGACGTCTTGGCCCGGGAAAGCTCCGACCTCTCTACCAGAGCACCTCCGACGTCTCGGCCCGGGAAAGCTCCGACCTCTCTGCCAGAGCACCTCCGACGTCTTGGCCCGGGAAAGCTCCAACCTCTCTGCCAGAGCACCTCCGACTTCTCGACCCTCCAACCTCTCTGCCAGAGCACCTCCGACGTCTCGGCTCAGGAAAGCTCCGACCTCTCGGCCAGGACGCATCCGAGTAACAGGGACATGAGCATCTGTTACAGCTATATATTTGGCCCTAAACTAAGGTGTTCAGAATAATTGTACATGTTTTAGGGGTTTAGATTGATTTTCGGTAAAAATTGCCACATGTTTTAGGCGTTTAGATCGCCTTTTCGGTATGCTCGCATATACAAGCATTGGGTGGCATTTTTATCGAGACGATTTAAGCCCCTAATGCATGTAAAATTACTCTGAACACCTTAGTTAAGGTCCAAATATAGCTGTAACAAATAGCTGTAACAATTTTTTAGTTCCCTGTGATCCGAGTCTCTGCCTCTAACGTATCAGCCGGGAGGCCACATGTTTGAGTAACGATGTAAATGGACTATTCTGTATCCGTTATTATAGAAATGACCTTAGAATATCGCACAGGGCATGAGTATGTGTGTTTGGTCTTTCCTGTTGTGTGGTAAGTATTGATATACGACTTGAGATGATGGCGGATCATTCTTTGAAGTATCATTTATGAATCTCTTTGTTGATACAGCGTGAAACATATATGCTTAAATACTGACATATGTAGATAAGGGTTTTGTATATTGTAAAAAAAAAAACAATTCATTTCCTTAACATGATGCTATACCGATCTGAAATTAAGAACCATGTTGTTCTTCAGATTTTTAAGAATGAAACTACACCAAATAAATTAATCTCTAATATTCTCGAAATTTATACTCAACATTTTATATCAGATATCTTGGTCACTATGTAGTCTAGAAGGCGATTTCAAATGACATGTTTTCAATGTTAGTTAGATAATTGTATATAAAGCAACGCTTTATTTTTAAAAACAAATACATCCCTTTACAGAATAATTAAATATAATATCACTTTCGACCCGTAAAATAGGACCCAATGGGTTCAGTGATGTTCAAATTGTTACAGCAGAAAATTAGAAAACCAACAGATCCAATGTATTGTTAAACATGTTTAAACGTGTTTAATCTTAAACAAAGTCTGACGTTATTTTCCGTGAAAAATCCAATAATTTTTATAAGAGTCACAGCCAAAATTTTAGTTTAATGTGTTATAGTGTGGGTAAAAAAATGGCACTGGTGTAAAAAAAAACAAAAAAACCTAGAAATATCATTTTATTTGTAATAACGGAAAACTTCTGCATCTCATGTCCACATTAATTTTCTATGATGGTTTAATACCAAAAAATCAAAATCTAATATTTTTCCGTCAGCAACTCTGAATAAGAAATAGTTATAGATACTTACTGACCACACAATAAGATTATTTGGAAAAAAATTGTTAAATTTTCAAATATAATATCAAGGTCAACACAGAATACGTCATTGAGTCAGAGGGATGTGTGAGGTCATTTTACCGTGTTTGCTGGTGAAGACAGCAGGCGAGGAACGCAGCGAAAAAATGGGAAAGGTGAGGAAAATCAAAAGGGGCAATGGACGGGGAGTAGTTTTAACGCCTTTTCTGACCACGCGCCTTTGCACTTTGTTATCAAATGTAAAAACGCAAATACTGGAACTGAAATAACAAATTTTGATTCGCATGTTAGTGGTAGCCACAAGTTGTTCCGTTGGTATACTCTTAATTCCAGAGAGAGTCATGATTTGAGAGTCTAGTTGTGGACAATGATTTGACTAGTAGTCAAGGTATTGAAGATTGTTTTTCTGGTTTTATTGACGTCATCTCTAAACCTTATGACCCCGCTCCATTCCACCAATCCTCACAACGTTGCGAGGCAAGAACTGTAAATTTTTGTATAGGCTTTTATAGCGGGGCTTTGAAAAATTTCAACGCTGATCCGTCGAGTGTTAATCATGAATGAGTACTATTGGGGCAATAAAAATGAAATATTTTTTTTATTCTTTATTGGAATGAAATGAAACTTTGGAATTACATCATAAGACTAGGAGCCACACGAAAATGTCTTCAAAAGTGTTTACAAGGGGAAATTGTGTCCCGATTTTATTTAGTATGTTTGTAAACGACTGTGAGATGGAATTCCTCAACAGTGGTGTTCAACTTTTAGAACTACAAGAGTTGTCGTTATTTTTACTAATGTACGCCGACGATATGGTGCTTTTCTCGGAAAGTGTTGATGGCCTACACACATGTTAGATGAATTGTTATTATAAACTAGGAGGTGGTCTCTAACAGATAACATTGAAAAAACAAAAATTAAAGTTTTCAGAAAATCGGCTGTATTACATGCAAATGAAACATGGCAGTATGATGGCGTCACACTTGAGTCTGTATTTTTTTTTTCTTATTTGGGGGTAAAACTCAATTATAATGGTAGTTTTAATTTAACGCAGAAACAATTGGCGTCACAGGGTAGGAAAGCTCAGTTTTCCCTTAAAAGATCATGTAAATATATGCTGTTAAATTTCTGCACACTGTTATCACTTTTTGACACATATGTCGGCAGTGTAGCCAACTATGCTTGCGAGGTGTGGGGTTTACACAAAGCGCCTGATATCGAACAACTACATCTAGACTTTTGTAAGAATATTTTAGGAGTTCAAAAATCTACACCAAACGCAATGATCTATTTCGAACTGGGTAGACATCCTCTTATCATTTCGAGGAAAATTAGAATTTTGAAGTACTGGTGTAAACTATCGACTTCTAGAAACTGTATTTTAAATGCATGTTATTAAGATATGTACAATGAGTGTGAATCGAACCCACATTGTAAAAATTGGGAGGCTTCTGTTAAACAAGAACTCTGTTCTATTGGTATGTCGGAGTACTGGCAAGCACAGGGTAGCTTTAATACACATCATTTTTTGGTTTTAGCAAAACAGAGATTGTTAGATATTTTAAAACAAGACTGTGAGACGTTTTTCTCCACCTCGTCTAAGTGCAGGGTGTATCAACATATTATTGATCATGCCTGCCTTAAACCTTACTTAAGTAAACCTAGTATTCATGTAAAGTACAAAAAAGCAATTGTCAAAATACGACTGTCTTCACACAATCTTTTAATAGAAACTGGAAGGCATAGAAAAATTCCTCATAATTTAAGACTTTGTCCTTTCTGTAAAAATGATATAGAAGACGAAATCCACTTCATTCTAAAATGCCCCTCCTTCAGCGAACTACGAAGTAAATATATTATATTATAGTATCGTGTTAATCCCTCTGTCTATAAATTAATCAAATTATTATCAACCGGTAATATCAAAGAATTAACTAACCTGGTTAAGTTCATATATCATGCATGTTACTACGTTCTACTCTGTTGGCTTCTAACTAACTTGATTTGCAAGCTCTTATTTCATAAAAACACCTGTATTTAAATTATAAATTCCATATGCTGATTATATCTTACAGCCTGTGATGATTTTGAATGTACATTATGAAATTTTCCTTTGAATCGATGTGATGTATATGCTCAAGATGAAATAAAGAATTTGAATTTGAATAAGAATCATAAATAGACGTACTATCCTGTATATATTACGCTGTCTATATTACTTAATTGTTTATAAAAAATGTTGAAAAGGAAAAAGGAAAAAAAATCACTGCTCGTAGATGTATAAGATTTATGTCTAAATGCTATTGGAGTCTCGTTAATGATGGAAATAGAGCCATGTTTTTTAAAATTTATATTTTGCTTTTGTTTTTCCTTTTTTTTAAACGCAGAAAAATTAAATCAAATTCCAGCATTGTCAAGTAAGGGTTATAGCCAGATTATTTCTTTCCCCGTATTCCCAAAATAAAAGTTTTGACCCCCATCTTCTTGCGATAATGTATGGAGTTCTAATAGTTTTAAAAATGTTAATATAGATCGTTATTTTCAACGTATTATTTTACGTTTTTACCGTTATCTATTTTATCCTGTGAGTACACATGGCCACTTAAACCATCTTTGTAAAACAATATTATTTGTCTTACAGAGGTAAGTCAGGAGTTTGAGCGCTACCTATGAACATCTGTGTGATAAGTCTGTTCCGATTGAAATAGATGTACATTATAATATATTATGCGTTTGCATACGGTCTTGTAATCCATACCATGTCTGTTGACACAATAAATCCAGTAGCGATATTAACAGAATAGGAAGTCGTCATTAATGGTAATCTCAATACAGTTATAGACGTGATTATTTGTGATGTCACAAGTACACTCCGGTTTTTTGTGTTATAGCTCCATAACATGTTTATCAAAATATCGTCTATGTTAAAACGGAGTGAACTCTAAATAAACCGCGTTGTAATTCATCAAAAATCCATGCTAAACAACTATGCATATGTTATACCTTTAGTCTTAAGTCGCAGTACAACTTAAGACGAGTTCAATCATGACGTCACTGAATGGAACTATCGTAATAGATATATAACCGACACTCTGTTCTAATTTCATAATTTAGCTGTAGACGTTATAAAGATGTTACAGTACAACTTTAGACGTGGTTTGTTTTGCGACGTCACAATACAACTATTCTTGACTAGTTTTAAATTTTGTTCCCATCTCTGAACAATTTTTACAAGAATTAAGCTTGAGCTGAAAGGGACTTACTATATGACATACGTCGATCATTATGGATGGGACATCCATACAGACTTACGTCATTAATTAAGTGATGATGTAACATACCGATGTTCCGATGTTAAACAATTCACAATGAGCAAACCGTTTGAAAATCCGTTAACATTTTCCCCAACAGACCAAAAGGAGGTCACTGCGACCTATTATTTTTTTCTTTTTACATAAGTTGTGTGTATAATTTGATTGTGTATTTATAACACAACCACTTGTGGTTAATCGAAAATTTATATTCAACTTCGTAATTGCACCAATTAAATAAAGGTCGTTAACACTTAGTTTTGATAAAACGGTGAAAATAGTAAGAGAGAAAAATCTTCTTAAATTTAAAAGGAAGAATCTTATCACTGATCAAACTTCCCGACACGTGGTCAAACTGGTTAACTATATGTTAACAAATGTCTTTATTGGACATTTTCCGTGATTTTCATTTTCATTACATACATAAATATTAAAAACATATTCTACATAAGTTATTTCACAACAGAATTCGATTTTACAAAAAAAGTATATTTTCAACATCATCATCTTTCAACTACCACGGGCATCAAAGTTCCGCGCGGTTTTCAATGTCATTCCCAGAATTCAGTAGGTTTACTTGGGCATGCGTGCCAGTAGTATTGCAAATGGCGGCACTTGTTATTGTTCAATGGCGTTGAATATGCAAGCACATTTTTAAAACTACTCTGTCACCTATACAGGTCAGTTGCTTGGACTAATTTGGATGCACTCACAAATAGAGGTCTTTTTATTGCAGGTGATAATGGTCAGTGTTTCATTGCGTGTTAACAGGAGAAGTGTAGGGCACCTTGAATGGTATGGGGTTCGAGCATTTCCGACTCGTTTCTCATGACATCACTCTGATTATTTACTGATTAAATATGATATTTTACACCATTTTCAAGTACAACGCACTATTTAAATATTTAATTTCTTAACTTTATAATGCTCTATGCTGTCTTTTAATATGCACTGGTCATTTAGACTAAATTAAGTAATGACAGCAGTTACTTTTCGTCCCCTGCCTCCGTTTTCAGGTCGGTGCCATGCCCTCCCTTCCGCCTGAGACGACATAATGTCTGGCGCACGTTAAAGCAACGACATAGAGCATATGGAATCGTTCTATTATTGTTATACAATTGATTGACGTTAATGATGGTAATGCTGTTTAAATAGGTAACCTTTATTTCTTCTGTCACTGGGTGGCGAGGGAGTTTTTGTCGTTCATCATGGCTGCCAAATTGGCCATATATTCCGTTGCAAATTGGAATTTGTTACCGGGTGTTATAATATGCTTTTGTTTTTATGGTTTGCAGTTCATAATAATCAGAAGGTTTTACTTTGATATAGTAGTTTGTGGAGTTGTATGTTTGTTTAAATGAAGGAAGGCAAGTAAGACCATGTGCCATATAAACGTCAAACGATAGAAATATATTATGTGCGGTGTCAATATCATCGTATGGTTCTTTAGCAGCTGTGTTATTGACCAAGGCTTTGTTTTAAATTTACCGAATAATCATTTGACATCATATTGCATAAATCAGGCAGATATAAACTTAATATTTTTCTGTTTTAACTCGTAATAATTCATGAGTATCTTTACCGTATATACTGCTGTGACTATGGTGTTGAATCTAATGACATATTTCATATTTAGGAGAGTGTTGAGGTCACCAGTTTTACAAAGAGATGTATCTTTTCACATATGTGCTGCAATTCTATCTATATATCGATTAAATGGTTCATTATTTCCCACAGGTGTTAGTATTTTAAAATCATGTCTGTATTGATATTGATAAATTATGTCCCCAAAATCAATCTTTAGATTGAGAAATCCACCTGGCACATTTTTTCCATGGATATTATATTCCTGTAGACTGTGACGAATTAGTTCATTAGCATTTTTATATAATACAATTTCATTATACACACCATAAACTTAAGCCTCATAATTGATTATTTTTACGATGGCGTATTTGCATTAATATATATTACATTTAAGCCATTACAGATTCAAGTTAACTGTCACTGGAGTTGCTTTTGTCACTATTCCTCCAGATATTTTGTTTGAACTTATACCATACTTTCGGTTTGGGATAATATTTTCTGATTGAAGTTGTAATTGTAAAAGATGCTTCTATTCAATTCTATTATCAAGATGGTAATCAATTAACATTTTAAACCTGTAAATTCCTGACAATTTTTGGTCCATATCTATCAGAGTCATTCATGCCGTACTGATGATGCAATATGTTCTGTTCTGATGATGCAAGATGTTCTGTTGCTTTGTCACATGTGTGTTTTGCACTATTCACAACATAAATAGCATTGAAAGTCTATACTAACCACAAAAATGGCCATGTTTAATGCAAATCATTCTCTCTTATTTGACATTTATAAGCATGTAGGACACAGAAATAAAGTTCATCTCTCCAAAAGTCGGCTTGTCTGCCATGTTTGGTTTTGATGCTCTCTAATTATGATATAATACATATATACTGTACATATTAGTATCCAAACTAATTTTCAAGAGGAGCCAATTTTTTTTTTTTAAGATTCAATAATTTTAAAGGCATTCAGTAATAAGATACAATGAAGTTGTAATTTTTAAAGGAAAACATATCCATCTGACTATGAATGTGATGTACATTATGTGTTCATGTTTACGCTTTCATGATCTGTTAAGCTAGCAAAATTCGATTTCAGGCTAGTCCGTGGATTATTTGTGTCTACTAGCCCCAGACTAGTATCATGGAAACAAACTTTACAACCCTGGTCTTAGACTTAGAGGCATGGTATATAGTTTAGGACAGAATCATGACTTAGTGAGGCTCTATGAATTGGTCATATTACAAACGTATACATACGTAGTGAGGCTCTATGAATTGGTCATATTACAAACGTATACATACGTTAAAGATCTGGAACCACTTTTGTTTGAATCTTGACATTTTTTTGAGAGATGGAACGGAAACTTAATCTGACATGTGGTCATACTTTAAACCTGTTTATTGCCATCATTACAATAGCCTTCTGCGAAACAATAATACTTTGGCACTTCAAATTCCTTGAATTTTCAGTAGCTCCGAAGACTGGACACAAGAGCTAACCAAAAGAGTCACATCTAACTGGTGACTAAACTTAAAGAAAACAGTGGTTTAAGAACTAACTCAAAAGTCAGATATTGATATGTGATTACATAGTCTATACAGAGAGTATAAACTTATTGCTTTTATCACAGCTACTGCAATATAATGTTTGCTATTATAGTGAAGATAATGTGAAAAATGTTGATAGTAGTTTAGGGCATAAAATCAAATATAGCTGTGTAATTTAATGTGTTATGTCTGCACTAAAATATTGTTTAGAGAGGTTTCATTGCATAGATCTGGGCAAGGCAGATTTTACAGAATACTGGGCCTGTATTCATGAAACCATTGTCATTCTCAGGCATGGATTTTTTGCTCAAACCAACTTCCTTGTTACTCATTTAAATCATGTCAAACAATCGAAAAGTCAAATGTAAACTTTGAAAACAGTATTTGGCTTTATCATTGCTTTATCTCTTCAATTTTTTCCTTCAAATCATTGACAAAATAAGGTTTCATTGTTAATTTATATATAAAACAAGAAATTAGACTTGAGCACAAAATCCATGCTTGAGCATGAGAACAGTTTCATGAATAGGGGCCCTGGTTTCCTTAAATTATTTGGTACTGTTAAAATTTAGATATATATGTATCATCCATTTTAAAAGGACAAATATATTGCAATAAACTGAATTCCATGATACATGCAAGTGTAACCTGTGTAATCTGAAACCATGGTCTGTTCTGATCTTAACAAGGTATATTCACGACAGGTTTCGCTTTATGGATTGGAATCAATGATAATCTACATATTTTCTATAAGAGAAAGACTTTAAAGTTTGTATGAAATCTTTGTGTTGCAGGTGGACATATGACCTCTCAGTAAAGATGGGTCCTCAAGAGGACTACATCGAGACGGTGTTTACATGTGAGGGGGACATCAATGATCCAAACCTTCAGTCTCGACTTGAAGATTTCCGCAAAGGTCTTAGGGATCTGCTATCAACAGGTGAGGAATAGGCTTCATTTTATTATACAGTTAGTTCCTGTAAGGAAGAGAAAAACTGGTTTTTATATTGATACACAAAAATTTTATGTTCAAGTATATGGCAATCTTTTGTTTTGCATAATTTTCACTGAAGAATTGCCTGATCTCCGTATAGTGCTTTAGGTCAGTTAGGGTTAATTTTCAGACTCCCATTTCAAACACATTCATGGTATATGATTGATATTCACCTTTTGTGCATGTATCCATCTGCCTTTCCATATTTTTTTTCAATTTTGGCCACTGTTTCAGGTATACATGCATATTTGGTATCTTTGTACAGTTGAAGGTATATTATGTGCAGACTATGTGTCTGGTACCATAATAAAGTCATCCCAACCTCTTGATCGCGGATGCACAAATATAGCTTTCCAAAGCATACCTCAGCTGCAGGCTTCATGATGCATTGACTCAGAATTAATTTATCGGTAAATCATGAAAGGGTGCCATGTCCCATTCCAAATAATGTCACAATCACAATTTCGTTTTACATTTGGCATTTGATCTAGGATGCGGAAATTAAGTTTTTCAGAATTTATCTTGGATACTTTTGTCAATGATTGGACAACAAAATTTATAGTGTCATGAGATTACACAGTGTGTCATTTGGCAAAATTAGTTATTTTAACTGCGTATGACATTTGATCTCAAATGCAAAAGTGTAGGTTTTCAGAGCAAATCTCAACCATTGTACATCAAGTTTATCTTAAGCTTATTTTATCAATTGGAAATATTTTAGCTCACTTGGTGGCTAAATTATTTTGCCCAAACTCTGGTCAAATCCAGTAGACAGGTCTTTTCAAACCCAGGAGTTAAGGTTCATTTATAGGAGTCAAAGGCATACTCTAAAGTTATAATGAAAACTTGGATGTTGCATGCCTACAGTCCTGATCAATTTTGTCCTGTAGCTTGCTTGGGTCAATTGCTCTCAGTTTTATTCAAATATATTTATCTTAAATCAATCATGTTCTGTATGGTAAGTTGAAAGTGATACTTCTAATCTCATCATTTAGTCACGCCTCCTGTTTGTTAATTAAAACCGTAAATGTTTATGAAACGACAATTTATATGATCTATATGAGCGAGTGAAGATTTATAAAACCCATTGAAAGATCTCTGTGAAATTGATGTATTTTGGCATTTCACACTATTGAGCAAATTAGGAGAACATTTACTGAAAAAAATGCAAGTACATATTACATTTGGTACATGGCTGTTCAACAATTAAGGTTACTCACTTAAAAAATGAAAACAATATTTCCATGGGGCAATGTTAGGTTCAACTATGGAGGTATGAGATGTTTTGATACATATTGCATTGTGAGACAGGTGTCACAGGTTGAACTTTTGCAGACCCTGAGAGCATAGAGGCGTGTACTATAGATTACTAGGGTGGAAGACTATCAAGTTTGTTCAGTTTATGACCTTGACCTTTGAATTTATTCCTCTTGTCACCCTGTATTTAGCTGCCATCTTCAACTTTCATGATATTTAAAAGGTAACAGACAACTAACATTATACTTTTTATTTTTGTTTCAGATAAAAGGAAGCTGATCCTAAAGAAGGTGGAGCCATGGAACAGTGTGCGTGTGACGTTTAACATCCCTCGCGAAGCTGCTCATAGACTTAAACAGTTGGCACAGCAGGGAGACTCCACACTACGGCAACTGGGAGTCTTAGCTGTACAAATTGAAGGCGATCAGATTATCTCACTAACAATAGCTGGTAGAAATAATGAAAGGACTAGATTGGTTTTCCGAACAGAAAGTGATACAGTAGATGCACCGTCAGTGTCTATGATAGATCCTGGAGGTAGAACAAATGACTTTGAAACACCAGGGCCAAGTAATGCAGAAAGTACTACACAGAAAAACATTGCTGATTATCTTCGGCAAGGGGCACCCCTCTTTGACACATTGTTTGGGCAGCAATCATCAGCACCAGATGGCTTTCAATCATCTGGTCCGAGAGATGTCATGCCGTTTGCCTCTATGGGAATGCCTTCGTCAGCCACAGGCAGGGGTCCTTCTCAATCCCAGCAGTCTTTTGGATTCCCCCAAGGGAAAAACCCAACAAGTGCACAATCACATCAGAGTGGGTTCTTTCCATTTGACCAGCAGACCAAGGGCTCTCTGGGTCAACCAGGAATGAAAATGCCCTCACCACCAGGCCTATCTCCTCACAGCATTCCACAACAGCAAGGACATGAGCTTTCACTACCTCCTCCTCCTCCTTATCCTCATGGGAGTGCTCTGGTCAACAACTTTGTAAAGGGAGGCAGGTATCCCACAACGTCCACTGGAAGTCCATTGCTAGTCAATTTGCTTCAGACTGAACCGTCCTTAGCAGGCATCAATAACTTTATGCACAGTAAAATGCTACCACCTCCTGAAACGGGGTCTCCTCCTAAAAAGAAGAGACGACAGCGGAAGCCCAAAGAAAAACCAAATGCAACTGTAAGCGAGACACAGTCCCAGTCTCCCAGCACTCCCCTAGCAGTGCCATCGTCAGAGGGAGAAGTCTCCATACAGAGTGTACCAAACCCTGCTCTGGCTACCTGTGGCCTGCCCCTGGTCACATCAGGCAGCAGCTCAAATATGCCAAGCATTCCAATGGTTACACAAGCCTTACCAGCTTCAACACAACCAGCTGTCACCTTTTCTGGGAGACAACCAATCCATCCGCCTCACAGCCCTTCGCATCAAAGCATGGACACAAATCTTCATACAGTTACATCAACTGCTGCTTCAAACTTAATTCCATTGTCTCAGGAACCCATACCAAGGAAATCAGAATCGGGGGATGTGAGCCAATTTTTACCAGAAAACACAGCTGGAAAAATCATAAACCCATATACTGGACTTTTAGAACCTATGGAAAATTCATCTGATACAAGTCCCATAAAAAGTGACAGTTCCTTAGATGGATTTTCTCCACATAAAAACCCTATAAAACGTTCCCCAAAGGACAAAAAGCAGCCACCAAGTGGTATTTCTCCAAATAAACATTTAACTATTAACAATGTCATGCATCAAGGGCGGATGCCCCCATCAAGTGATAGGATCTCTTCTGTGCCAAGTTCTTCTGCAGGACATCCAAGTGTTAATTACTCTAGGCAGCAACACCAGCAGAATGAGACAGTAGCTGTGTACAGTAGTAGTAGTAATAACTTAATGTTGCCTTCATCGTCGTCGTCATCGCTGTCTTCAGTATCATCTATGTCACCATCTCCACTACCACTTATGTCCCCTGCTAGCAGAGGTAATAGTGGTTATGTGCATTCTAGTCCTACTAGAAAAGATTCTGTAACAAGTGTATACAATAGCAACTCGACACAGAACAGGACTGTCAACAGGTCACCAGCAGGACAGGAATATATGCCAGTTTCTAGTGCATCTCAAGGATTTGTCACCAAGTCGCCAACTTCATCCTCCCAAAGATCTTTACCAGGCTTTATGCCTGGTATGTCCACAACAGTTGAGATGCAACCTTTGCACCAAAGTGTGTACAAGAGTTTAACATCTGGTTTCCCCGAGGACAATCATCTGACGACTGTGTGTTGTGGGGCTCACACAACTACTAGTGCTTCTCCTACATTGAGCCAAAGACAACAACAACAACATGTTGCAACAAATGTTGTTACAGCCTCCACGCAGCAGAAAATGTCATCGGCGATTACTAGTCCTTCAAATTCTGAACAATTGCTCAATCCTCATGTGATGAACCATCCAGCCAAACATGCAAGTGTTGTGGGTACCAGCACTAATTGTTTAATAGACAGTCCTGGCGGAGACTCAGAGAACTCTAGCCAGAGCAGTCTTCTGCATGAACATTCTTCTCAGAATGATATAGCAGCCTCAGGCTGCACACTGGAACAGGAGACAAAGGTGTACAATCATGACTCAGGAATCGGCAGCTCATCGGAGAGGTCAGACGGCACACCGTCGGAACCTGGAGATGATTTCAAAGCAGCACATGCTAATAGTGAAGATTGTAGTGCATCCATCAAACATTTTTTAGATGGAATAAATAAGACCACGTGTGTACCCAAATCAGACGCTCAAGTGATAACAGTCGGATATGCAATGTCCAATAGTCATGTTAACAAAAACACATTGAAGCATAATTCTGATATCTCTTCAATTTTATCAATGCCAATGGAAAAGGCTTTAAATCATCAAACTTTTAATCATGTGAATTGCCGGAAAGACAAGACCAAGGTCATGAATCATGTTGGCCCTAGTCACCAAAACACTGTGTTACATTGGTCTACTAGAGAGAAAATATTCTCAAACCAGGTAGAGTCCAACAAACGCAAAAGTCCAAAGCAGTTTCTGAGAGAGGAATGTGTTGCACAAGTGATGACGAACAAACAAAAGCTGCCTCCGTATACAGCAGACCATTTAAAGCACATGCAGAAAATGGATCCTCTAATGCCGCAACACGGCAATTGCAATTCTACATTTGGTTAGTAGATTATTGGTTCTATAAAAGTATAAGTTTTTATGTAGCTAGTTTTCACAAGAAATCTTTAGAGAAAAAAATCTTAAGTTGATGTAAAGTAAGAGTTTGGAAGGCACATGAATGTTCAGATACCAAATATGTGCATCCATTAACTGTACATATACCTACTTTTAAACTCTGGGTCTCTGCCCTTCTCCTTAAAACTAGTTTGTAGGACTTTTTAAACTGAAAGTACCAGTGTTTGCTAACCCTAACAAGGAATGCCAGAGTCTGTTTTGTCTGGGGCTTGCAGTGCATGTGGTAAAAGCTTTTAATGCAAGTTTAAAATGTTCTAATGCATTATCTTGACCCATTCTGGAGGTCTGACACAGGTCATGCGAAAAACTGCTGGAAAAAACGCAACATGATTAGCTGTAAGAGCGATATCATGATATTTGGTCATTGCTTTCAAGCTCATTCAGATCAATTAACCTTGACCTGTTTTGAAGGTCACAGAGGTAACTTTTGTTAAAAATTGCAAGTGATGGAATCTCCATACATTAACAAAACATGGAGCAATATAGATTCTGGCTGCCTTGGGTGCAGTACAATCGATTAAATTTGGCTTTATCGATACTCAAGGTCAAAGTGATGGCGTTGTTTTCCCCTGGTCTAAGCTCAGTAGGGTTATGCCATTTCTTCCCCTCCTTACCCTGTTTTACGTACATAATGTTGATGACAAATAGACTATTTAGTTGAACGTGGGGATTGGAGTAATGTGTATATATCTCAAAAAATCCTGTTTGTTTTTTTAATGACAATAAACATTGAAATTCATTTTTTTATTGTATGACTGTCTTAATGATGAGACGTACTATGGCATAAAACACCAAATTTAACATCTGCTGTCATATTCTTGTCTGGAGCACAATGTAAACTCTTAACCAATAAAAGTGTTTGATGTAACTTATACGCATAGATGACTCACTAATGTACCATGGGATTGTTTTTCAGAATCCTCACTTCAAGGTCACCTTAGGAATGGATCAAAACCATTGAATTTCAATTGACAATTTGTAGGAGTTTCATCTCTCTTGGCGCAATAGTGTAGAATCTGATTTTCCAATCTCGCTCAAACTTGGTATAGTGATTTGTGGTAAGAAGAGGATGAACCCTATTAAAACTCCATCATGTCATAGCTATATAGGTCAAAGGTCAAGGTAGACAAAATTTACAATAACTGGTTGCAATTGGTGCTTCATATTATTAGTACTGCAACGACATGCAATATCGGAGTAAAATCAATCAATTATGACCAAATATAATATATTGCTTCAGTAATAGCTCAAACATGTCAATATTTTACAGCTTTGCAAAAGACGCTGTCTCCATGACTTTTTATTGAAAATCTGTGTCATCACAGTAGCGAGTCTATGTCATCACAGTAGCGAGTCTATTTCTTGTTTTTGATCCAACTCCCTATAATGCCAAAGTACTAGAGCACCCCAAACGTCTTTATGTTTAACTTAACAGTGCCACAGTGACAATGGCTATAGAACAGCTTTGGTATCACTTAGTGACTTCTTTTCTGAGCAGAGTTTGTTTCACTTTTGAAAAAGTATCATATGTAATACCTTCAGGAGGAAGTTATTTTCATTTTGGATGTTCAAGCTTAGGTCATCATTATTTCAATCTTTTTAGAAAGTTCTTTCCATCACTCTAACAACTATTTTCTGAGCTGGTTTTGAACAAGCTTCCTATGGTAGTTAAATATGAAGGTAAAGGGTACCAACACTGTTCGTAGGATGTCATCAGTAGTACTATTTACTTAGTTTCAAGAAAGCTTTTAATCAAACTCCTTAAAAAAGATTACAGAGAGATAGTCATGTATGAGAATACTTGGCGCGAGTAGATGTTTCAAGGTATTATAACCAAGGTTGCCTTTGATAAAAAAAATCAAAAAAAATCACTCGCCACTTCATTTCTGAACAGATTTTGAGAGTTTCTATACTCTCCTGAAGAAAGGTTAGATGTGGATTAAAAGGATATGATAAAAAATAAAATATTTAATTATAAATGGGAGAATGAAATTGCTAGGTGATATGATACTAGGTACTGTTGACAAAATGATATGGTATAAGTATGCTCTCCCAACAGATGGCTGTGCACACAAGCTGGAAAATTGTATCTGTAGTGCCTTAATTTTACTTTCTTGCTGAAGTTATTTAACTCCCTACATGTGCAGCACATGTCCATTATTCCCTCACTGACAACTCGCACTAATGGAATTACCAATTAGAGACCATGCTGGTTGGTTGTATAACGTTACATGTAGGTGATAATGAGTTTTAACTGAATTCAGTCTTGATAAAAAAAAAATTAAACTGACAAATTTGATAATCTCTGTAAATATTCCCCAGGACCTTAATTTATAAATGGTCAAATGTGGCACGTGCATTCATTTTCTGGTGTAGGATTCAGCATGTCCCTATATGTGTACATTGTCAATGAGAATGTGTATGAAGCGTTCTAGCGATTAAATTTCTCCAGAGGTTTTATATTTTATGAAACATCTTACAAGCATTTGGTATATGACAATATCTGAAATGAGTTATCGTTTCTGAGTGCAGACAAGGTTTGTGTGATGCTCGCATTAGAACACAATCGAGGTTGAAGCAGCTTGCATGAAACATCAAATAAGAAGAAAATGACAATATTCATCCTTTTTCAGTGTGCAGCATTTCAGTTCAGGGTACTGTTATTATTTTTACAACTTATTTTTAATGGTTCTGGCAACCTTTTTCTTCCAACAGATACCCGTTAACCTTCATAAGACTTGTTTAAAAGATACTGTAGTATCTCAATGAGCGTGTGCCAGTGGATTTATGCTTTGTAAAGTGTTAAGCTTATAAACATAAGATATATTAAATATACTTATATTGAAAACAGGGGGTTAAAATGTATTTTTTTTACTCGTGTTGTATAACCAAATTATACATCCTGTGAATAGTGCATATACAGGCCCTTTTTGTGTCTTGTTTATGACGTTCAGCTGGTAAGTAACTTGAATTGTCATGCTTTTCACATGACAGATCTAATGATCCGTTTTATGTTTAATAGGTGGGGCTGATGTACACGCTACAATGTCTACATTCTCGCATGGAATAAACAACATGGGTAAGACAGATGAGTCGAGGCGGGTACCTTTCTCAACACAACAGGATGTGGTTAGATCTACAGTGCCCTCTCACAAGGTCAACAGTCACACGGCTAGCAGTTGCACCAGTCCTCGCTCGTCTATGATGTCCGACGATACTTACCGGATGTGCAATAAAGACTACAATAATGTACAACCAATGACAAACAACATCATGTCCCGGCCTCCAACAGGACAACCAGGGGCCAGTGTAGCATCCTTCAGTTCCCCAGACACTTCTCAGCCAAATGTTTCCCACTATTATCCACAGAAATCATTTCCAAGGAATCATCAAGTAGACAAGAGGACAAAATCTCCCCTCGCAAACAACCCTATGTCAGTGGCGTCAAGTCAACCAGACAACGTGATTCCAAGTACGGGAATGATGGGGTTTGGAAAGTCTCCTGATGGAGTGCATTCTGTCAATTACAGTACATGTATATCAGATGTAATGAGTAATGGGCCAGTAACATCAAAGTTGGACTCTGGTAGGTTTGTTACTAGCAGTAGTGGGAGCTACGATCCACAGAAATACATCACAAGTGCAACTTCTACTAACAAGCGACGGTCACCAGCAAGCTCCATGATCAACTCTCTTCCCCAGCATTTTTTTGACCCTGCCCTACCTCTTGCAAAACGGTTAACAGAATCTGTACAGAAGCTGGTGAAGCCCCTACCCTCAATAGATCAGTCCTCACTACCTCATGCACAACACAAATCTCCTGTTAATATGGCGACAAAATCTCAAGCCTCCAACTCTCCTCCTCGACTAACTCGCACTGCACCAGACATTAGGCTATCAGTGTCTGAGGCAGCCATGGTGGGCAAGTTTGTCAAGTCCAATTCACCTTTTGACATGGACACAGCAGCCCCTCCACACCTGTCTGCTGAAATCCCCAGTTTAATGGCCTGCAGAACACATGAAGATGGGCTGGTAAATAACCAAGATTGCTTACCAATCTCTAGTCACCCCTCGATTAAAGACGACTTTCAGGCTCTGCCCTCACAGGAATCAAGTGTTTCTTTCACAGGCAGCTCAACTCACCATACTTTTCCCAACTGTGATTCAAACGTACCCGTGCATTCTGAACCAAACTCAGAATCTGTGTTAGTGAATCCAATTCAAGGGAGGGTGCACAGCACCAATGACAGTACAAATGGTGGGACCAAGGGGGCGTCAAATACCCCTACAGAAAGTTGGACTGCTACTTTAGAAACACAACCAAACTCATCGGCGAACAGTGCCAGTGGATCGTCATCTATTTATCCACTTACAACTGCAAATAGTGCTAGTGTAGGGGGATCTGTTTTACAAATGTCTACTCCCTCTCTGAAGCAAAAAGGGACCTCTCATATTGGTGCAACTAGATCTGATTGTGTATCAATATATACAACTGGAGGAGGGATCCCCACACATACAGGTAGTTCTACAAACACAGACAATAAGACTTCTGCAGTTGCTGTGGAAGCTAAGCACAAGTTTGAACAAGATGAACAGACAGGTCATTCGCCATCAAAGGTTACTCTTAATTGTAATGGGAATGAGTGCAATAGTTCTAGTACAGAGAATTCCAAAAACTGTTCTCCAAATTTACTCCTTAACTGTAGTGCCAACAACAATTTGTGTACGAATACTTCTCAATGTCCTGAGATTACTTCTAGTCGAGCTGAATGTGTAGGTAGTGCGGCTGTCGATGGCATTACTCCAACTTGTGCTAACACAGACAATCTTCACCAGCAGCACAGCGGGGACAGTACGGCTTCACATGTTAACACTCTGCAGAACTGTGAGGATGTTAATGGTGAACAACCTGGTACCTTGTCACAAATTCAATACACAGCAAATTCCAGTGTACAGAGCATGAACCGAAGTGAGAAAGAGGAGGATTCCCATGTAGAGGAGATGACCAACAATGTTCCCCAGCTACTACCTGTTTACAGTGATTCTAATCAAGTTAACTGCACGGATGACATCTCTGATTCCACAGCAACTTCCGTCACGTCCAGACCACAGAGACAAACCAGTGTCCCTGACAGTACCAGGCCTCTAACACCAGATGATTTCTCGACTACCACAATGGCACTGAGACGAAGCAGAAAGTCCTCGGAATCAAACGAAAATAGACCTATTGAAAACAAACCAACAGAAAATTTGTCATCAGCCCAACACAATCTTCGTCTGACCAGGCAGCGCATCAGTCCAGCTGACCCAGCTGAAAAGGAAGTGGGAACAAGACAGCGTTCGAATACAGCTGACTCGCAGGACAAGAGTGTTGACGGTGACTCTGGTAAGAACTTGCGAACATCCTCACGTAGAAGGAAACCAATGCAGAATGATGAGATAAGTGCTACAGATCCCAACAAGAAAATCACAAATTTAGACGATTGTGAGGTAGCCAAACACACACGTTCATCTGATACTAAAGACAATAATGTCGGTACCACATTGAAGAATGATATTGTGAAGGTTTCAGCCAATGAAACAATAGATGGGTTGACTGCAACACTGGATTCTGTCAAAACTGGGCTCAGGAACAGAACCCAAAACAAGGCACCTTCTGGGGATGAAAAAACAAAGGTAGTTAACAAGGACCCAAAGAAAAAGCCATTAGTCTCTGATGATGAGATAGCACAGAATAAGAAAGCTCAGCTGAGTCGGCGAAGTCGACACTCCCCAACACTTTCCCAGGACAAGATACAAAACCGTACGTATGATACTTATACCGTACTTTCTTATTGCTTTCTCTAACTTTACAGAAGTATACAGTCGAACCTCGTTATCTCGAAGTCGACGGGGTCGTGGGAAAAAATTTGGTATGAATTTGCTGTTTGGACATGGCACTAGCAGTTGTTGATTTTATCAATAGCCAATGGTTGTAATCAATCGATGAATGATAAACGTAATCAAAAATAACAAATACAGGTATGATAGGCTGTTGGCTACTTCACAGATAGTTTCATACAATTATACTTGTGTTTAGATCCTAATAGGAATATGTTAGTGATAAAGATGATTTTCATTGAAACCACAAGTATAAGACTTTAAACCCTTTTGTTCAAATTGCTTAAAATTACCCAATATCTACTAAGTTTTGTACTATAAATACCTTTTCATAGCATTAGCTGTATGCACATGTTCCTCCACTGTTTCTGAAGGCTTTTTGCAGGGAAAATGGTTAGTGGTTTTAACATACCGAAGCTTTTCGTCAAATTCCTAACAATTATGAAAGCCAACAAAGTCTTCTATTCTTGTGATGTATTTTCATAATATTTTTAAATGTGCAAGTTCTTGCAGTAAGCTTTACGGCTCAGTAATATTTTACAAAATATTTGTAAAATATTACTGTACAAAGTGTATCACAATTGAATGTTGTGTTGTCTATGGCTACAACATCTGGTGGTCAATCCGTTGTAATTTGTCTTTGCTCAATAACAAGGAAGTGCTGAACATATCCCTAATAAAACTTGTTAGTCCTTACTCTAGGTATATGCTGATTTCTGATACAATTCTCAAGTCAAAAATAATTGTATTGCTCTTGCTGAGTCATTCTATCTATTGCTCTTTTTTAGTCATCCCAGCTGAATACATTTCAGCTAGACAATGTGTTGAAATAGGTGGCATGCATTATTCCTCCCCCGCCCCCCTCATTTTTTTCCAAATGCTTTTTAATGTTCTTGATTTGTTCTGAAACATTGAAAAAAGTTTCTGATTGGCAAGGTACATTCCTCCCTTTTGACTTTGATTTCCTCCATTTGTTCCTATCCCCATTCAATCAAAAGTCATATGCCGGTAGTTAAAAGTAAAAAATAGAAAAGTGAAACACTAAATGTTTTGAAATAAGTAAAAATCAAAATATGACTTGCATTTATCAAATGAGTGATGTGATTTTCATATGCTGTATTTGTGTTACAGAAATCCGTGACAGATCTCCTGTGCGCAGTCGAACACGAACCTTGGTACCCGCGAACACTGACCCTCAGGAGGACTCTAAGCGCTCGACTCGGTCCTCCAAACCCAGAGGTAGCTTAAAAATACCTTGTCCTACTGTCAATAATCCAGTTGTTTAATTGTAATGGCCATTGATTTTAAAGATTGTCAGATAATGACCAGATCATGTTATCGTATAATTGTTAAACAGCAATTTAAATGGTGTGCAGAGTTTACCATCAGGGATAACAATTGACAGATGTTTCGGGATATGTCGCCTTTTTTTGAGAGAATCTCATTGAAAATTTGAAAAGTCTTTTATTGATAGAACAATCTTGTAAAAAAAAAAATGCAAAAACCTTGAAATTATCGCTCAGCTATAAAGATTGCAGAATATCCTTTTATCTCATTGTACATTGTATTGAATATCCTTAAAAATCTTTTGTATATTTGTGTATAGCGAAAGGTGTGTTAATCCTGTTTTTCTCTCTACAGATGCAACCGAAACACTACCTCCAGCTAACAAGCGGCGACGTTCCTCCCGAGACCACAGATAAACCCTACTGTCTCCTACTAACTTCCAACACTACTCTAACGAGGGTTGATTTAGTTATTACTTGTAAATACTCTAGACTCTTACAAAGTATAAGCTGTATAGAGGATCATTGATTTGTCTTGTACATAGTCTGAAGTGTTGAAATCAAGATCCCCACATGTTTATAGCGAGCGTAAGGATGTATACTTGTAGTAAGGGATGTTGTCACTCCAAATGGCATTTGTTTGTACAGAACCCGCACCATAATCATGTGCATTAGTTTGATAATTTATTTCTTTTTAGTGAAAAATAGTGCTCTAATTATGAATTAATAACTGTCAATTATGTTGTATATGAACTTATTTCACTCATATAATACACACATTTATATATATATATAAATATATATTATATATAAAACTGGGTACATTTGATGAAGTAAAAAGTGATATTTGTTTTGATTTATTTTTTCTTTGATTTTCCCCCCTAACTTGGTGCCCAGACATTACTAGATAATGGATACTGCAGATGGTAGTAAATAGACAAATAGATCTATAAACATATGTATAGTTCAGATATATTAATCAAAAACTATTATGAATACCCTCATCTCTAATATATGTGATACTTTTTGTGTTGTTGTTACATGATATCGGGCAGTCCAATTGGTTGGAACGGCCTGTTATTTGAGAAAGTTGCATAATTTTCACTTTGTTACAGAAGCTTTAGACTACTAATCTGGCCAGGATAATGGACACGAGCTGTTGTGTCGTCAACATCAGGGCCATTTATGTTTTGTTATTGTGTATATAACATTAATTACGTCTCTAGTCCTCGGGCTCCTTGTACAGTCCACCAGATCATCTCTGTTACCAGGTGTGTGTACTGAAACAAAGCTCAGTTATATCGGTAAACATCCACACACTGTTTCGTCATCCAGTAATGAAGTAACTTTTCATAATTTGAGTTTAATGAAATTATCACTGTCATCTTTTGTAAATAAAGCATGCACCATCAAGGCTGGTGATACACTACTGTCAAGTGTTGAGTTTGCTGATGTTATGTACATATATAAGGAGCTTGAATAATGTAGGGGTTGGTTTAGACTGAGTGACCAGTTATTGTCCTTAGTAGCCCCTGCGGCTAATTCTCTTTCGTGTTGGGTCTTTATTCATTGGCAAAATATTTTCTTCATTCTATCAGGGATATAGGTTCTCACACTTGCTTCAGTCGACATTTCCCCCCGTGTTTCTTCAAAACAGATAATAATCTAACATAACTAGGTATCTTAACTGCAGTTGGTTTTGTACCCGTACAATTATTAGCTCTCTGTGTCTTTTTGGTGTCCATTCAGCATATTTTTATTTTTATATCCAGTATTCGTGAATAAACATAGCTCACATTTGCAGTATGTCAAGTGTTGTTATCTTTCTTACCGTTATAGTGTCCCTTGTGAGGCTGGCAGACTACAGTGTTATACATTAAACCCGAAGCTGGATAGGCTTTGACAAAACATATTTGCTGATAATTGATTTTGAGCCCTACAACCTGTGCCAAGTTAAAGGTCACTAACTTATGCATTTATTCCAGTTAAATTCCTGAAGTCAGCGGTGATGTCATAGAAATGAACATTTGTATAATGTAATTTCTCTCTGTAAATATCGGTATAAAGCTTATTTTCTCTTGGTTGAACGGTTAGCTTATTTTCTCTTGGTTGAACGGTTTTAGTGCACCACTTTGTTCCAAACTTGAACCAAATTTTGTAGAAAAAATATTCTGATAACTTGTCAAATCTCATAAACCGTTAAGAAATAAGAGAATAATATAAGAGGGAAATCTAAACAATTTTCTCGGAATGAGTTTTTGTTCTTCTACTGTTAAGTATATAAAAAAATAACCTGTGGCCTTAAGGAGGCTCCACCCTTTCGCAAATAACCATCAGAATTCAATGAAAGTTTAACATAATGGTTATGTCACTATGTAGAGATGATTTTATGAAAATCTAAGAATTCCGATAAACTGGGGATTATTTTGTAAAAGAATACCGAAAAAATGAATTTTTAACACTTTCACATTTTTTGAGTGTGTAGCATTGTTCAAAACTATTACAACTTCCGTGAGTTAATTAATGTAATTGTATCATAAGCTTTATTTCTGAGGTACACGTGTGATTACACATTTCGAAGTTAAGTCTCCATATCGGGTGCCTGTGTTACTATAATTAACACTACCGTAATGGAATGCCCGATACGCAATACGGAAATGACGACAAGAAAAACATGTGTATTACTAAGGGTGGTAAGTCCATAAGTTACAAACGAAATTGTGTCATCGACTGCTATGTTAGAGCAATTTGAGTACGGGGATGGTAGCTTACGAATTCCTGTAAATCAGCAAGTTCTACCCACAGTTGTCGTTCTTTTTCACACACGTGGTAGATATTGCTTGAGTTATTTCCCTTGGCATATTGTGAACAACTGAATCCAACAAATTTCAAACTGAAAACCAAAACACTGCTTGTAGAAACTCTTGGTCCCCGTACCAATGCCCTGGACCCGCTCCTAAATGAATACACTCCGAACAAGGGGTCCGTTGAAGATGATGAGTACCGCCACACCAATAAGTTTTTATTTCTTGTCATACTTACTTATTTCCGTGAATTTATTTCTCCATTTGTTTGGAATGTTGATGTTTCTCAAAAGCTTATGTTTTATCTAAAAATTCTTTATATTTACAAACATCTTGGTCATCCGAAAGATTGATAACTATGCAAGTTAAACGGATGAACATGTTAGTTTTTTTTTCCACTAAATATATTACTCGCTCATTTGGTACCATCAGTAAGACCCCTAAATGCTGCCCGTCCCTCGTCAACTTTTCATTTAAAATGCGAATTATCCAGGAAGGCTTAAGAGATTTTGATCAAATGGTTTTGTTCTTGATATTGTTTGGCTAAGGAGATGACCCAACGTTGTATACAAGGAGGATGTGGCCCCTAAAGGGGCTCGGAGGAGATATCATTCTAAATATATGAAATCCTACTTCTTAAGTACATGTCAACGAATTTCAATCAACATTTTGACTGGTGCATCCTATGGCCAATTGACTCAACGTTGTATAGTCGGGAGGTTTGTGCCACACCCCATCCCCAGTCCCTAGGGAGCAGAGGCCCAATAGGGGGGAAATAGGTGAATATTTCAGCATCCTAGTTTTTTAGTAAGGGTAAAAGGATTTAAACCGTAGCGTTCTCGGGTCAGTGGAAACACTTGTATAAACAAATTATGGCTACTCTTCATGCAAAAGGGCGGGGCTTGTCGGGGAATATATAGAAAATATCACTAAGATATTTTCTAGTGCCTTTCTAGATGAGGCCTTTGTTTCTCGCAAAGGGGCCTGTTTGAATGCGAATATCAACAGACCATCGATATATAAACTGGTCTGGAACTTTTAGGGCAAAGGGGACAGGACGCTGCATTAACAGAGTGATGATTACTTGGTTTTGAATTGTGCTCGGTTTTCGTAACATTTTGAGATGGCATACGATGTTATTACTGTAAAAGTTTATAAACATTTGGGTCGCTTATTAGGTTGATATTACAGGATATTTTTTCATGTTTTTTATGTTTTAGCTCACCTCGTCTGAATGGCTAAGTTAGCTTATGCTGTGGCGTGGCGTCCGTACTCAACTTTTTTCTTTAAGCGACTCTTTCACAATAACCAAAAGCCACAGGGTGATGAAATTTGGTCAATAACATGCTGGCATGAAGTGCTACCAGGTTTGTTCAAATAAATGACATTGACCCACATTAAAGATCCTTGGGGTCAAATATGTTAAAATATTTAAACAACTTCTGAATAACCAAAAAGCCGAGGGTGATGATATCTGGCCAGGGATAAATTACCTTTACTCAATTTCAAATAGTCAAATGGTTGAGAAATATTCAGAAAACTTCTTTTGAATAATCAAAATACCAAGGGGATGATATTTTGCCAGTAGCCTGTGGGGATGAAGGGCTACTAAATTTGTTCAAATGAATTGCCTTAACCCATTTTCAGGGTCGCTGGGGTCAAATGACTGAAAAAAAAAAAAATCAAACAATTTTCTTCTGAATAATCAAAATGCGGCGGGTGGTGATAATTGGCCAGTAGCCTGCAAGGATGAAATCATGGAATGCTACCAAGTTTTATCAAATGAGTGACCTTGACCCACTTTGAAGATCACTGGTGTCCAATGTTTAAAAAATGTTCAAGCAGTTTATTCTCATTAACTAAAAGGCTCAGTGTGATGCTATTTTGCCAGTAGCACGACAGGATGAAGGGCTACCATTTTTTTTTTTAATGAATGACCATTACCCTCATTCATGGTCGCAAGAGTCAATTATGTTTAAATCTTTAAACAAGTTTTTCTCAATAACCAAAAGACTCAGGAGGAGGATATCTGGTCATTACCATGCTTGGATGAAGGGCTATCATGTTTGTTCAAATGAATGACCTTAACTGACTGACTTTCAAGGTCACAGGGATCATTTTTTTAAAAACAATCCTCAAACAATTTCTCTTAAATAACTGTTATGCATTTAGTAGCCGTTTAATTGTTCAAAGTGTACAGATGATATGCTATGAATGTATTAGCCTTGGCTCGTGGTCAGTGTCAGAGTTTTATTTGAAGATAGTAGTTAAGTAGCCGTGGATAAATGCGCTTGTGAATCTCAGGCGCGTAGCTGCCACGTAAGCAAATAAGCAGTTGCATGCACATCAAAAATTCAAATATACTATTATATTTTTATTTATTTATTTGTTTATTTTGTAGTTCGGAAAAGTGATTAAATGATGTGTGGTTCAATTGAAAAATATATTAAATTTAACCTTGGAATTAGATTGTTAACCGACAGCCGACAATCATTACGTATCTGGAAGTTCCAACCTAGGGTACCTGGTGCCGATTTTATTAGTAGTATATTTAAAGTTGTCAACATCGGAAACATGCATGGCTGCAAATCCAACGAAAAACCCGCATCATCTTCGAAGAACAAGTTGATACATGCCATCTTCCAAGCAGCTGTAGGTTCACATGAAACAACATGCTCTTGCGACATTAACTTAGGCATCGACGAGTCTAAAACGGCTATTAGTATTAGGGCCTAGTAATGCCGGAGTGGCGGACCCAGGCCTAGGGGTGTTGCCCGGGCAACACCCTTTTTTCTGTGTCCAAAAATAATCTGGACTTAGGTTTTTGTAGATTTTTCTTTTTTTCTTCTAATATCAACCATCATGTGAACTAAGGGTGCAGTTACCCATACAAGGAGTCCACTACTTATACTCTAAACAATATATTTATATATTAGAAGGGTCTCCAGTCAGGTCAGTGGTGAAGGCTCAACGGACTGTCTACCTAATTGTATTGTTCTAATGTCACGGTGTGGTGATCACCCTGATCGTGGAGAGAGGATAAAACCACCTGTTGGAATTAGGTTTATATGTGACTTGTTATTTCAAAGGTAGAGTCCATTTCATGATAGATAAACCTGTATTTTCACCTGTGGTTTCATGTACACATGATCACTAGGAGTGATTTCTTATACCGGTTAAAAAATGTAAATTTCAAAAATTTCAAAGACAGTAAAGCATCCACCTTAGCATCACGTTATCAGGTAAATAATAACCAATGTTAGCATAAAAGGCTGGCATGTATATATATATCCTTTTTAACAGGTGCTGCCCTTGTAAATATGCATGCATACAAATTCACAATAAAAGACAAACAGTCAAATCATAATTAATTTTTATGACAAACTAAATCAATATTTAATTGCCAAAATCCTCGCCTAAACTACATGCACATGAAAGGCATGACACAAACATCAACATTTTAACCAAAAACCTACATTTTTACCATTGTTTCAGAGAATTTGTTAACACTCGCTCCGCCATCATAAAATATAAATACTCTATGTTATAAAATATAACATTGAATAATACCGCAAACTCAGAAAACTATTCTATGCCTTATTTGATCTGTTTGACAATGGAAATAATGTCCGATAAATTCTAGCTTTCTACGCTTGACAGTGCTTGAACAAGTTTAGTATTACATCTTCAGAAAAAAGAATTCGCCTCGCTCTGCTCGGCAGGGAAATTATAATTGTCCCAATCTCAGAAATAATGAAGTTCTATATATTGTTTGGTGCCAGAAAGTAGTATACATGTACAACCGACATGACAATTATAATTTATTAGTTTTTTTGAGTCTTCTGAGTTTAAAATTTTGGGCAACACCCAAAATTAATTCCTGGATCCCCCCCTGAGTCTGACTGTTGTTACCCGTGATATTGGAAATACAAGCGAGGCCGATATTCGTCTTACTAAAGTGAAGGTGGATATCGATATCCTGTCAAAAAGATGGGAAAAAGCTCACGTGTACAAGTTCCATACACGTCAACATTTTTACAAGCGATTGTAATGAAATACAACTAAGTCAACGGAGGCGGGTTGTTTTTCCGGAAAGGATGTATTTTTGTGTAATTTTTTACACCAATTAAAGGTCCTCCGAATAACAATTGTAGATTGATTTGTTACTAGCATTATTGTTATAGGTTTAAGGGCGGATATATGCGCGTATAGGATACATCTGAGTTTTACATTCATTTCGCCTGCAAATGTAATATGAAAAAGGCAAAGCCTCAAAAGTCGGAAAAGAGCCACGTACATGTAGCTTTTGCTTATCTGTGACATTATATAGGCCTGCCCTTTATTTGTCCCTGTCATGAACTGATAAAGTATGTTTTTCAGAGTAGTCATAGGCCTATTTTCAGTAGCGCTACTGGCTATATATGTATACATTTATCTAAACATCGATATAGGAGCTACTTATGTTCTGAGAAATGTTGATGATATAAAAAGGGTTTGGGGGACTCAAGGGCAAAAAATCGGAAATTAATCTGTTTATATTGGCTCCGACATTTTAAATATCTAGTTAACTTAGATTCATCAGGAAAGAGATATGACGCAACGGATATTTTCGGGTAATTCCAACAATCGCCACATTTTTGTCGGAGAAAAAAAAGGAGAGCTGTCTTTTGCATTTGAAATACATTTGAATTTTTGAGATGCTTTCCAATAATAAAGTGATGAATCAACCAAAAACATTTGTCTGTAAAATAAATTAAAACACTAAAATATGTATCTCAAAAGCCACCAGATGGCACGACAGAGCTTCTATATCTAAAAAAATCCGGGGGGGGGGGGGGGGGGGGCCCCCCCCCCCCCGTACCCCCTATAGAATGGCTTCGCGCCTTCGGCGCTCGCATTCGCACCGAAGTTGCGACTTTCTGCATGCACATCCAAAAGAGCCCAGCTACGCGCCTAGTGATATAGTTTAGGATCTGTAGATAAGCGTGACCGTCTGTAGTCTAGGTGGGGGGAGTCCAGTGTGTGTGCCTCCGCAGCCGGCTGATGCTGACCCGGGGGTCAAACTTATCAACATTTTTAATGTAGCAGGATTTTGCTAAGGGGACAGATAATAAGGTAGTCAAGTTTGGGGAGTAGGAGAGAGAGAGTTGGAGAGTTGGAGAGACATAGAGAAGAGCTTGGGAGTTGGATAGAGAAGGACCGAGTTGAGAGGTCTAGAGACACAGAGGATAGTTAGAAAGTTGGAGAATTAGGAAGTTAGTAAGAATAGTAGTTTTAGTTGTAGTCTTAGGTCCGTGTAGTTATACAGCTTGTAGAAGGAGATTAGCTTGGAGTGGGGAGATTGCGTTCACAATGGTGAACACTTGTATATTCTATGACTGATTGAAATACTTAAAAATATTAAAATTTTACTGCGTTACGTAAGTATAGCAGTTAATAATTGTCTGTATGTTTCATTTCCTAATAGTTATAGGTTTCGGACAGGCGTGAGGCCCGAGAGTAATAAATATTCATAGCGAATTATACAGGCGAAAGGGGAAAGCATAGTGATTGAATTGGTCCGTGAAAAGTAAGGTGCACGAGATTTACGTGCGGCAGGGTGGATTTATACGTGGTTGGTTCGAATAGGACAGAAGGCATTCTAGCCTGAGACACGTAAGAATACGGTCGAATTAAAAAAAAAAAAAAAGGAGATTTTTTTAAAAATTTCTAAAACTTTTGTTTGGTAAAGATATGTTGATATCAGTATTGGATTTGTTTTCATAGATGATGTAGGACATCACAAGGTTTTCCAGAGCTTTTGTGACTTATTAAGTTTTATCTCTGGTTTTTAACCCTGGATGTCGGGGGAGGTGGTTCCCTGTAATGTAATGAATGTATCATTGTCCAGATGCCATAGAGGAGTAAGACTTTGAATTATTTGTACACAAGTGTCACAAGTGAAATATCATGCATTTTGAATAAACGTCTGCTCTATCGTGTAAGAACAGGCTACCGGCATATATGTGTTGTTTACATTGATTTGGAGGGGTATTATCATGGGTGAATAGGACAGACCAATGTACTTATTGTGTTGTGTAATTATTATGAACTGGTGCCAGCGGTGGGATAATATAGAAACGTAACACTGGTGGCAGCGGTGGAATATTACAAAACGATACACTGGTGGCAGCGGTGGGATAATATAGAAACGTAACACTGGTGGCAGAGGTGGAATATTACAAAACGTAACACTGGTGGCAGCGGTGGGATAATACAAAACGTAACACTGGTGGCAGCGGTGGGATAATATAGAAACGTAACACTGGTGGAAGCGGTGGGATAATATAGAAACGTAACTCTGGTGGCAGAGGTGGAATATTACAAAACGTAACACTGGTGGGAGCGGTGGGATAATATAGAAACGTAACACTAGTGGCAGCGGTGGGATAATATAGAAACGCAACACTGGTGTCAGCGGTGGGATAATATAGAAACGTAACACTGGTGGAAGCGGTGGCTTAATATAGAAACGTAACACTGGTGGAAGCGGTGGCTTAATATAGAAACGTAACATAACCAAAAGGCCAAGGATGGTGATATTTAGACTGTTGCTTAATTTAGCCCACATTGATTTGTTTGCACTTGGCCAACTTTGAAGGTTACCGGATTGAGATTAATACCAGGTGAACAACTCGGGCCCATTGGGACTCTTGTCCAGTGTATATTGCTGTAAATGATGATGACTATTTCTTTACCTAGACTGTAGGACAGTTGTTATTACAAACATACTTATATGTAAGGCTGTTCAAAAGTGACTGCAAATATTTCTTTTTACTAAAAGAATCAACTTCACCGCAAAGAATACAGACATTATTTATTGCAACAGAAAAAAAGTAAATTGCTAGATACGATTAGTTTGTGTTTTTACAGAAATATGAGTACACTTCTAGCAAATTACTACAATTGGTCATCCACCACAGAAATAGAGGCACTCACAGGGAGGAACATAACATAATACCGAGTTTCTAACCAAAACTTGAACAAGCATAGTAATGTCACATCGCTTTACTGATTGGCTTTTTCTATTGGCTGCAGCTATTTCCTTTATACCAAAGTTAGTGTTGTACAGATTTTAAATTCTCATGTAACAAAAAACTTTTTTTTTCACAATGACTTTGTTATATTGAATTTGGTGGGTTTCTCTCCCTTGACCTATTCTAAATTTGACAGGCCGACTGGTACTGGAGACATATCCTCAATCTATGGGGTTAAGAAGGGTCAGCAACATGGCCTTGTAATCTCCACCACACTCGCTATCCACCGCCTCCCGTAGTGTCCGGCGATCATCCTCAGGCTGCATGAAGTAATACTTCGTGTAGATCTCCTGCATGTCAACCTGTATACACACAGATACGTCATTACACAACTGTATACACGCATATACATCATTACACAACTGAACACAGATACGTCATGACACACGTGTATATACACAGATACGTCATTACACTTGTAAACACATATACATCATTACACACATGTATGTTCACATATACATCATTACACAACTGTATACACACATACATCATCACACAACTGTATACACACATATACATCATTACACAACTGTATACACCCAGATACGTCATTACACACATGTATACACACAGATACGTCATTACACAACTGTATACACACAGATACGTCATTACACTTGTAAACATATATACATCATTACAAACCTGTATACACACAGATACATCATTACACAACTGTATACACACATATACGTCATTACACAACTGTATACACACAGATACGTCATTACACAACTGTATACACACATATATACGTCATTACACAACTGTATACACCCAGATACGTCATTACACAACTGTATACACCCAGATACGTCATTACACAACTGTATACACACAGATATGTCATTAAACAACTGTATACACCCAGATACGTCATTACACTTGTAAACATATATACATCATTACAAACCTGTATACACACAGATACATCATTACACAACTGTATTCACACATATACAGTGATTTTTTTGCTCAGTTTTACAGCCGAATACAGGCTGTTTCCCCTAGCTAAAAAGTGTCGTATTTTCCCATAATGCCAAAAATGAGGAATATATTCCCAATTTGAAAAAAAAAGTGCTTTATTTTCCCAATTCATAAAGGGTCGGACTGTTGTAAAATTTTAGTTAAAAACAAATCACTGATATACGCCATTACACAACTGCATACACACAGATACATCATCCTACACAAGTATCTACACATATACATCTTTACACATGTATATGTGTAGATACGTCATTACACATCTGTATACACATATATACATCATCATACACCATTGTCCTCACAATACAATCATACGGGTTCATACCACAAGGACCTGAGAAATTGTTACAGTTTAGCTGTTTTTGGTGCAGGGTACGTTTTTGGGGATAAGATCAACTTCCGGTAAATCTGGTTGGGACCCTCATTAGGTATGGCGTTTTATATTGTTTATACCGTCATTGGAGGTGGCAATTTAACCGGAAGTTGATATATGATTTTCATATTTGTATTTTTTATAACAATTTGTATCCACAACCTTACAGTGTGACATCTCAAAAAAGTAATTATGAGACATTTATGTGAAATATGCATTGACGATTGACATTAATGGGTCTTACCTCACTCCTCGACACTATCAGACGGATGAGATCGTCATCGCTGGTACCGATTCCTCTCATGGCATTGTCCAACCTCTTGGCAAAAAATAGAGGTTTGTCTTCCGCTATATCAACTGAACAAATAAGATAAACCTGTTTTAATTATTACTACAAAGCATATGCGCATATCTCTCTTTCGTTAAGTCAGATCTAAAGCATATCAGATGAGATATTGACCCTGGTACTGAATGTATCGAAATGCGTATCACCACAAAATACACATTTAGTGGTGATAGTCCCGCTACATGTCTCTTATATTTTTCTAGCATTTCCCTCCCCAAAAGACACCATTTGCAACCATAAGGGTCGGGTATCTACTTGCCACGCGTACACACACTTCTTGAAACAAAGGTTGGTCACAGGAATCAGGTAACAGGAGAGGGGAAATGCACAGGCAAGACTGCGATTCGAACCCAGGACCTCCGGGCTCTAGACAGACGCTCTTACCAACTGAGCTAGCTACCTTGTCATCGGCGGTCACTAAGCCCTGTCTCTTTACACCATACTATCTATTGGTGATAATTCAACATTTAGGAGTTATACTTGCAATATCTATAGTGTTTCATGAAGTGGTGATACTGCACTATCTAGCGACATACTGCATCATATGATGATACTGCACCATCTAGTGGTATACAACATCGTATATTATTATATGACTGTTGCTTTTTTTGTTTTAAACATATTTTATTGCCTTTTTTACATAGCAATGGAATTGGGCACAAGTTTTACAACTGTTGCTATTTCCCAGCCCTGATTGGAGGAGCGACGTCATGTGACGAGTCTGTATATTTGTTACAGACCTCACTCTATGAATAGAAAAGTGTTACAAACCTCGACCTATAAATAGAAAAGTGTTACAGACCGCTACTAAAAATAGGTCTAGGTAATTTCCCAGCCAGATTGTAATTCTGTTACCAATCACACTACTGACCTCAACTACAAATTAATTATCTCATCAAATTCTGAACTATGTGAATATTAATGATGTCGATTGTGCAAATGATATTGACTTAAAATTAAATATCACATGAATTGAATGTGAAATTCAATTTTTGTGTATGTTATTTTGTATTTGAAGTCCTTCACTCTGTGATTCCAAAATGGTCCATGCCATCCATTTGTTTACGATAAAAAAAAAGATTAATCTCATTGTAACATGTCATATAATAAAACAATTGTGGACTTCAGCTTCGGTCTACCCCTGATTTACGGACCTGATCTGAATAATATTCACCTCGGCCTTCGGCTTCTGTGAATATTGTTCAGAGCAGGTCCGTAAATTAGGGATAGACCTCACCTGAAGTCCATAATTGTATGTAATAATACTGCACCATCTAGTGGTATACAACATTGTATATAATAATACTGCACCATATAGTGGTATACAACATCTTTTGGTAATACTGCACCATCTAGTGGTATACAACATCATAAAGTAATACTGTGCCATCTAGTGGTATACAACATCATAATGTAATACTGCACCATCTAGTGGTATACTACATTATAAAGTAATACTGCACCATCAATTGGTATACAACATCGTATATAATAATACTGCACCATCTAGTGGTATACAACATCATAAAGTAATACTGCACCATATAGTGGTATACAACATCGTATATAATAATACTGCACCATATAGTGGTATACAACATCAGAAAGTAATACTGCACCATATAGTGGTATACAACATCGTATATAATAATACTGCACCATCTAGTGGTATACAACATCATAAAGTAATACTGCGCCATCTAGTGGTATACTACATCATATAGCAATACTGCACCATATAGTGGTAAACAACCTCATTTGGTAATACTTCGCAATCTAGTGGTATACTACATCAAAAGGAATACTGTGCCATCTAGTTGTATACTACATCATATGATGATACTTCGCCATCTAGTGGTATACTACATCATAAAGTAATACTGTGCCATCTAGTGGTATACTACATCATATAATAATACTGCACCATCTAGTGGTATACTACATCATATGATGATACTGCGCCATCTAGTGGTATACTACATCATATGGTGATACTGCGCCATATAGGGATAATAACCACGGAATTAGATTGTTATCCAAGTCCGTGTAATAACATAGTGATGGCAATGTAACGTTGAGTGCTATAAATAAAGCATGTCATTTGGAAATAAGTTTAGTCACTTTATATACGAACTCAGATTGTGAATGTTGAATATTAGCTAGTTACCTAAAGCCAAATATCCGCTTTGTGTGTCTCCGCTGATTTCACTCTCGACGGCCTCCCTCACGGTCTGCTCGTACTTTTCCGCGTACACTTCAAATATTCTTTTCAACTGATTGAAATTGCGTCTACACAGGACTTGGTTGAACTTGGACTCATCTGTACCCCAGCTGTTGGGTCCAGCCTACAAGTCAATAGTATGGATATTTTACTGTAGAGATTATTATACTTTTCGTCAGAAAATCACATCGATTTTGCATTCGTGGTAATTAAGGAAACATGTTTCTTTTTATTCTAAAATTTCGTGGTTTAATCATGTTTCACGAGGGCGAAACAAGACTTAAACATGATAAATAGAAAAATGGTGTTTCCCTACTACCACAACAACAGTAAGTATTATATTATACCGAAAGAGAACGTATAAATTTCTTTGGTAATATTCTTTTTGTTGCCAACAAAATTTAGCACTTTTTAAAGTAATATGTAGGTTTTATTGCTGAATATAGGATGAAGAGTATAAATCTGTTCCAAAATTTGTGTGTTTTTTGCATTATACAAACTTACCTCGTACAGTTCCTGTGCATCGGCCTCGGCGGCCTCTTCATCCACATCATCATCTGTGTCTCTCCCGCCAGTCACCAGGGAAATCATCAGACGACCAAAGTACCCGGATGTGTCACAATCCAAGTCTTCCTCCAATGATGTCTCAAACTCTGTCACGTGACAAAAATGTATGAATTAATCTTTGTCTTCGATGCCATAAAGTATCATGACTTTGATATCAAATCAAGCAAACGATTCAGTATTTTGAGGTTTATTTGGAGAAAGAGGCTCAGATTTACATTGCCCGTACTTTTTACCCTGCTTTAATTTCCAAAATCTTTCAGGGTTTACCTGTTTGGTACACCGCTTTGATTTCTTCCAGTTCCTCGTTGGTACGTGAACACATTATTTCTATCAGTGCCGTCTCGTCAGTTCCAGCTCCCTACATATAGAAAACCATAGCATATCATGTTAACCTAGTAACTCTGATGATCTCCATGTTACCCCGATAGATATGTTGAGCTGTATGTTACCCTGATAGATATGTTGAGTTCAATGTTTCCCTGATAGATATGTTGAGATCCATGTTACCCTGATAGATATGTTGAGTTCCATGTTTGTTGAGATCCATGTTACCCTGATAGATATGTTGAGATCCATGTTACCCTGATAGATATGCTGAGCTGTATGTTACCCTGATAGATATGTTGAGATACATGTTACGCTGATAGATATGTTGAGATCCATGTTACCCTGATAGATATGTTGAGCT